CCAAGAGTTAAATCGACTACTCCAGATCAGATCATCAATGAGCACAGCTTATCACCCTCAGACGGACGGAGAAACAGAGCGAGTCAACCAGGAGCTGGAAATCTATCTTCAACTCTATTGCGGAAACAACCCTGAAACATGGGCCGACCGCCTGCCAGACCTCGAGTTTTGTCATAACACAAGGGAACACTCGGCACGGAAGATGAGCCCATTCCGCATCATGATGGGATACGAACCATGTGGACTCCCTTCTGTATTTCCGACCACGAACATTCCATCGGTTGAATCCAGGCTTGACATGTTGCAGAAGATAAGACTAGAAGCACTAGCCATGCACGAGTTAGCCCGGCAACAGATGGCGGACCGAGTCAGACAAGGATCGCCGAAGTTTACACTAGGACAGAAGGTCTGGCTAGACTCGAGGAACCTGAAGGTCAATTACGCCTCGCGCAAGATAGCACCAAAGCGTGAGGGGCCATTCGAAATTGTCGAAGTCATCGGACCAGCCAACTATCGTCTCAAACTCCCGAAGACCTGGCGAGTTCATTCCGTATTCCACGCCGCCCTTCTATCTCCTTATCGCGAAAACGATATACATGGTCCGAATTACGTGAACCCACCACCTGATGTCGTTGATAACGAAGAAGAGTACGAAGTCGAAGCCATCCTGAATCACAAGACGTACCGAGGTCATCTGAGGTACTTAGTCAAGTGGAAGGGATATTCTTCAGCAGAAAACTCGTGGGAACCTACCCACAATTTACAGAATGCCAAGCGAATCCTCGATGCATATAAAAGGACCAGGGGAATCCAGTAGAGGAGAAGAAACCCGGAATGACTACCACGGCGGTTTTCCTCATCATCTTCCTAATCGTCCTCCACTGCACAACCCTCGCCTTTCTTTGGATCATCCACCGAATCCTTATCAGACGACTTGTCGAACACACACTCTTCACGCGAGACAGCCCGCACGCTAACGGCTGGGGTGATCAGAACGATGCCTGGAACTGATCAGGCAGCTCTTATCTCTGTGGGAATACTCTTTATCGTCCAATGGATTTTCATCTATTTGATTATTACCCGGATCCACGACATTCTATTTCACATCACAGATAACCGTGACCCCCTTAACGACCGAAAGGTATAAAAGGGGGAGAAAATGACATATCATCAATGCCCACTTCCGCTATAGACGACCTTGTTCACAATATACTCGCTGAAGTCGCCTCCACAATTATGAGCATACCCGCATCGCCTACGCTTGTCAATGGAGTACCCTCTCGAGCACAGACACCCTTTATCCGCACCTCATCGCCCTCACCTTTTATCGAACTCAGTCACGCATCAGACGAACAAGAATTTGCCACACGTCTGGTCTCAGCTATCCGTGTTCCTGTCGACTTCACAGATATCCTCGTCGCCTTACGAAATCGCCCGCAAGATCGACAAGCGGTGGTTTCCATGCAACGAGCATTAGAAATGGTCGAGTGGATGCAGACGGCCAGACAAGAGCTCATCGCAGCAGAAGAAAGGACGAGTAGAGCCCGGACCAGAGTCGACCAAGTCTGGTCGTTGATGCGCAGTACGGTCACTCGTACAGCACAAGAGATTTGGAGGGAGCATGGGGACGAAGACATCGGACACATCCTCGGATACACCACTAATGGAATACCCGCATCCACTCCTCGCTCGTTGCCAGAACCAATTCCCGTTCGACCTCGCCCTCCTCGTTCGCACGTACCCAGTGGACGATCTCCGTTATCCCAACCATCTTTCTCGACTGCGTCCACTTCTTCGCGTCGCAGTCATCCCTACAGGGATGGACGTATCCCCGAACAAGGATCACGAACCAGCCGGCGGACATGCTACAGATGTGGAGGAGATCATTATGTCCGCGACTGCCCCCGATGACGATGAAGATCACAATATTTCTTGTGGGACAAGAAACGTTAGACAGGAGCTGATGTTACAATGCTCCTCACTTGTGGCACATCTTTTCTTTTTCTTTTCCTTGTTCCCTTTACGTTACCAGACCACGTGATCCAACACGTGACTCATCGGAGCGCAACCTCCGATTCTTTATCCAGATGTCCAGAACCCCTAGTCTAGGGTTACACCGGATCCAACTCCGGACCTTCTTCTTATTGCACATGCAAGACGTGCATGTATGCCTCATCTTTACCTCGTTCCGATACACGACTCGTTATCCCCATTAGTACTGATTATCTCTCACGACCTTACTCAGCTTTCCCATACATATTACTTCCTCGTTGTTACCCTGCTTAGACATCGTTTCACCTTATCTAACCAATGAACGATCCTGCATTACTGCGTAGTACTGCGGATACCTTTTGTATAAGTAGACGACCTTGTCGAGCTGGATCCCCATCTCGACCTGGTTACCATTAAACCAGCTTTTCACTTGCCTTTGACTGAGATCGACCGTCAGTAGCAGACAGCTACTACGAGTCATAAGAACAAACTCTGATCGACCTTCAGTGCGAGGACATCGCCAGAAGTGTCACTTAAACGGACTTGTGTCTTAGACTAAGACCTTGTCTCGTGACGACTCGACTAGACGCTCGTGTTTCGCTGCCGCGTAACACTGAGCAGAATCTTGCACTGATAGGATTGAGGAGATTGCCTACACTGAGTGACCGTAAAGAGAGGTGAAGTCGATGTATATGCCGATGGATGGGATCACAGTGTCTCAAGCAATATACTCGTCCTCAAGGGTAGTTGGCATATAGGTGCGATATATTTTAAGGAAAGGTTGGTGTTGTCCTTTCTCATTTGCTGCTCTTACAAGTTGAGCATGGAGATCTTCCCGTGTAGGATAGAATCTTTACGTGAGACACAAATCATGTGTGTCAACCACCTCACACTTGAAATACAATGTTCTCGTTGTGGAGAAAAGACACGTACTTTTGCGTTGTCGACTCGAGGTATGCACGGGCCTTGGCCGGAGGAGCTTTGACTCCAGGTCAAGCGAGTGGTACTTCACCGGTCGTGGCAAAAGGGAAAGTACGCCGGGCTATCACAGTTGTTCGTTGATATCAAATTTATGATAGTGGGTTAGGGATGCCTGAGCTATACGTGCGGTTCGTTGGCTGAAGTCGGGATGATAGTCTGCACAATACAGATGGGGAAATGTGGGTGGGAATGCCTAGCAACCGTGTGCGAGGGCTTGCTTTCTGTCTTCTGATATGATGTGTTATGCGGCAGCGAAACACGAGCGTCAAGTCGAATCGTCACGAGACAAGGCCTTAGTCTAAGACACAAGTCCGTTCAAGTGACACTTCTGGCGATGTCCTCGCACTAAAGGTCGATCAGAGTTCGTTCTTATGACTCGCAGTAGCTGTCTGCTACTAACGGTCGATCTCAGTCAAAGGCAAGTGAAAAGCTGGTTTAATAGTAACCAGGTCGAGATGGGGATCCAGCTCGACAAGGTCGTCTACTTATACAAAAGGTATCCGCAGTACTACGCAGTAATGCGGGATCGTTCATTGGCTAGATAAGGTGAAACGATGTCTGGGCAAGGTAACAGTGAGGAAGTAATATATATGAGAAAGCTGAGTAAGGTTGTGAGAGATAATCAGTACTAATGGGAATAATGAGTCGTGTATCGGAACGAGGTAAAGATGAGGCATACATGCACGTCTTGCATGCACGATAAGAAGAAGGTCCGGAGTTGGATCCGGTGTAACCCTAGACTAGGGGTTCTGGACATCTGGATAAAGAATCGGAGGTTGCGCTCCGATGAGTCACGTGTTGGATCACGTGGTCTGGTAACGTAAAGGGAACAAGGAAAAGAAAAAGAAAAGATGTGCCACAAGTGAGGAGCATTGTAACATCAGCTCCTGTCTAACGTTTCTTGTCCCACAAGAAATATTGTGATCTTCATCGTCATCGGGGGCAGTCGCGGACATAATGATCTCCTCCACATCTGTAGCATGTCCGCCGGCTGGCTCGTGATCCTTGTTCGGGGATATGTCCATCCCTGTAGGGATGACTGCGATGCGAAGAAGTGGATGCGGTCGAGAAAGATGGTTGTGATAACGGAGATCGTCCACTGGGTACGTGCGAACGAGGAGGGCGAGGTCGAACGGGAATTGGTTCTGGCGACGAGCGAGGAGTGGATGTGGGTATTCCATTAGTGGTGTATCCGAGGATGTGTCCGATGTCTTTGTCCCCATGCTCCCTCTAAATCTCTTGTGCTGTACGAGTGACCGTACTGCGCATCAAAGACCAGACTTGGTCGACTCTGGTTTGGGCTCTACTCGTCCTTTCTTCTGCTGCGATGAGCTCTTGTCTGGCCGTCTGCATCCACTCGACCATTTCTAATGCTCGTTGCATGGAAACCACCGCTTGTCGATCTTGCGGGCGATTTCGTAAGGCGACGAGGATATCTGTGAAGTCGACAGGAACACGGATAGCTGAGACCAGACGTGTGGCAAATTCTTGTTCGTCTGATGCGTGACTGAGTTCGATAAAAGGTGAGGGCGATGAGGTGCGGATAAAGGGTGTCTGTGCTCGAGAGGGTACTCCATTGACAAGCGTAGGCGATGCGGGTATGCTCATAATTGTGGAGGCGACTTCAGCGAGTATATTGTGAACAAGGTCGTCTATAGCGGAAGTGGGCATTGATGATATGTCATTTTCTCCCCCTTTTATACCTTTCGGTCGTTAAGGGGGTCACGGTTATCTGTGATGTGAAATAGAATGTCGTGGATCCGGGTAATAATCAAATAGATGAAAATCCATTGGACGATAAAGAGTATTCCCACAGAGATAAGAGCTGCCTGATCAGTTCCAGGCATCGTTCTGATCACCCCAGCCGTTAGCGTGCGGGCTGTCTCGCGTGAAGAGTGTGTGTTCGACAAGTCGTCTGATAAGGATTCGGTGGATGATCCAAAGAAAGGCGAGGGTTGTGCAGTGGAGGACGATTAGGAAGATGATGAGGAAAACCGCCGTGGTAGTCATTCCGGGTTTCTTCTCCTCTACTGGATTCCCCTGGTCCTTTTATATGCATCGAGGATTCGCTTGGCATTCTGTAAATTGTGGGTAGGTTCCCACGAGTTTTCTGCTGAAGAATATCCCTTCCACTTGACTAAGTACCTCAGATGACCTCGGTACGTCTTGTGATTCAGGATGGCTTCGACTTCGTACTCTTCTTCGTTATCAACGACATCAGGTGGTGGGTTCACGTAATTCGGACCATGTATATCGTTTTCGCGATAAGGAGATAGAAGGGCGGCGTGGAATACGGAATGAACTCGCCAGGTCTTCGGGAGTTTGAGACGATAGTTGGCTGGTCCGATGACTTCGACAATTTCGAATGGCCCCTCACGCTTTGGTGCTATCTTGCGCGAGGCGTAATTGACCTTCAGGTTCCTCGAGTCTAGCCAGACCTTCTGTCCTAGTGTAAACTTCGGCGATCCTTGTCTGACTCGGTCCGCCATCTGTTGCCGGGCTAACTCGTGCATGGCTAGTGCTTCTAGTCTTATCTTCTGCAACATGTCAAGCCTGGATTCAACCGATGGAATGTTCGTGGTCGGAAATACAGAAGGGAGTCCACATGGTTCGTATCCCATCATGATGCGGAATGGGCTCATCTTCCGTGCCGAGTGTTCCCTTGTGTTATGACAAAACTCGAGGTCTGGCAGGCGGTCGGCCCATGTTTCAGGGTTGTTTCCGCAATAGAGTTGAAGATAGATTTCCAGCTCCTGGTTGACTCGCTCTGTTTCTCCGTCCGTCTGAGGGTGATAAGCTGTGCTCATTGATGATCTGATCTGGAGTAGTCGATTTAACTCTTGGAAGACCTTGGATGCGTATTGAGGTCCTCTATCCGAGATGATTCGGTCGGGTAATCCAAATCGCGAGTATACTTTGTTATGAAAAATCTTGGCCGTTCCTTCGGCTGTGATCGTTTTGAGGCAGGGCGTAAGAATCACCCCCTTCGTAAGGTCATGGTCTACTACGACCATAATTGCATCAAAACCGTTGGAAATGGGGAGGTCGGTAATAAAATCGGTGGTGCAACAGGAAAATGGTAATGCGTGTGGGTCGGCGGGAATTGGTTCCAAAGGAATACGAGTTGGATGAGTATTCGGTTTCATTTGTTGACAGGCAGCACAGCCTTCAACATAATTGTAGACAAATGCATACATGCCGGGCCACCAGAATTCACGACGTAACAGTTCAAGAGTATTGAACTTTCCAGGGTGACCCATGGCAGGGGAGTCGTGATGTAGTCGAACGAGGTCACGACGAAGGGTTTCGGATGGTGGAACGTAAATCTTTTCTTTGTAGAGGATGACACCATCGCGAACTTCCCAGTCGGAAAGCGATGATTTCATGGGGAATGGCCCTTTGTGCGCAATCGCTTCGAGGGCTTCGTGAACAATGAGGTCTTTTGCTGCGTGATTCCTGATTTCGTCGAATAGTGTCGGGGAAATGGATCGCACGAATAGTGCGTTGGGTAAAAGAATGCGACCTTCATTGTCACTTTCACTGTCATCGAGTCCATTACGACGAGAGAGTGCATCAGATTGAATCATCTGAGTGCCAGGGACATGGATGAGGTGAAGATCAAATTGTGATAATTTGAGACTCCATCGTGCTTGTCGGCGGTTTAACTTCTGAGCTGTACGGAAGTATGTGAGGTTCTTGTGATCACTGCGAACTTCGACGGGATGGGGAGAGCCTTCAAGATAATGGCGCCATTCAGTGAGGGCTCGAATGATTCCGAGGAGTTCGCGATCATAGATTTCCGTTCAGCTGAATTGAGCATCTGTGAAATGTAGGCACAAGGATGGAGGTCTCCATTGATGTCGGCTTGGCGTAAAACTGCACCCGTAGCAAACTTGGAAGCGTCGGATTCAACAATAAAGGGTTTTGCCTTGTCAGGCAGTAACAGTACTGGGGCGGTACTGAATCGTTGCTTCAATGTGTCGAAAGTCATCTGACATTCTGTCGTCCATTCAAAAGGTGGAGATCCAGCGGCAGTGCGCATAAGATTCGTCAATGGTTTGTCAATATCCGAGAAGTTGGCAATAAACTTCCGATAGAAGTTTCCAAACCCTAGGAAAGAGCGAACACCTTTTACCGTGCTTGGTTCAGGCCATTCTGCAATTCCTTTAAGTTTGATAGGGTCCATGCCAATGTAGTTTTCTCGAATGATCATGCCTAGGAATTCGACTTCTTTAACGTCAAAGAAACACTTTTCCGGTTTAAGGAATAGGTCGTTGTCTTTGAGTCATTGGAGTACGCGTCGGGTTCGAACGTAATGTTCTTCCAAATCATTTGAGAAGATGAGGATATCATCCATGTAAATGACTATCCATCCCTCATCGATCATGTCCTTGAAGAGTGCGTTCATCATCATTTGGAAAGTCGCCGGGGAGTTGCAGAGTCCAAAGAACATGACCATAGGTTCGAAAAGTCCGCGATTTGTCTTAAATGCACCCTTCCATTGGTCACCATCTTTGATTCTGACATTGTTATATCCGGAGCGTAAATCCATTTTCGTAAAGATCGATGCGCCTTTGAATTGATCCATAAGGTCAGAGATGAGTGGAAGAGGATAGGCGTTCTTCACCGTCCCTTCATTCAGGTATCGGTAATCCTGACAGGGACGTAGTGCTCCGTCTTTCTTTCCTACGAAGAAAAATGGTGAAGCCATGGGAGATTTCGACGGTCGGATGTATCCTTTTCGCAGATTTTCTTCTAGGAAGTCATCCATCGCTCCTTGTTCTTTGAGCGATAATGGATAGACTTTACAGTCACGTGGAATAAAATTGGGTTTCAAATCAATGGCGTGGTCCCAAGGCCTGGTTTCTGGAAAGCGTTCAGCTGCTTTCTTTTCAAAGACGGACTTCAAATCGTGGAGGTAGTTGGGGACCAACTCCTCGACGGTTTTGGGTTTGTCTACAGCTGATGCTTCCTTGTGTGCCTGTTGTGCCAATTCTTGTGATTTACCAGATGGTTTGTAAAAGACCGTATTCTGTGCGTTACAGAATAATGGGGATCGAGTACTGTGTGTCATTCTTCCAATGGCGGGGCCTCTTCATAAGGTGAAGACTGCGGTTTCAGTCTCTTCATTCGTCAAAGGTGACTCCTTCCTGATGGGTTCAAATATCCCAATAACTGGCTCTCCTGCAATATAGGATATAACTAGATCGTCGTCATCGAGCTGATCCATAGGGGGTTCTGATGGTGGGTCATCTGGTTCGGTATCATTCCGCACTGCGGGTAACTCGCCACGCTCAGTGTTATCGGCCACGATTTCTCTGATAGATTCTGAATGCCCAAATGAGGTAGGGGAAGTTTCGGTGGTGATTAACTCTGGGAGTCCATCTTCCTTGAAAATCGAAACTTCTTCATCTGGTGCATCTTCGACGGTGGGTTTCGGTGGCCATTTGGCGTCTTTACCAAACCAAAAGTCACCGGTTTCCCAGTTGATCATCAGATTGAGGCGTTTAAGCCACGGCATGCCGAGAAGTATGTTTTCTTTGCCAATGCCGGTCAAGAGGAAGCGAGTAAGCGTCTTCCTTCCTCCGATTTTCATCATCTTCCAGGTACAATGAGTAATGGTGCCCATTTGATTTGGTGTGCCATCTGCATTTATGACTGTAATCGGTTTCGGTAATTCCCATCTGATGAAATTGTTTTCTTCCGCAAAACGAATGTTCATAAACGTTTCGGCTGCACCGGAATCGATCAAGGCTTCTGTTGTAACGTCTTCCTTCTCTCCCAACGAAATATTCACAGTGATTGAATTTCCGCTAGTGTTACAAATAACGAGGGGAGATACGGTAAGATGCGACGGTCCATGCATTACTAGTGGCCGTCGTCTCAAAAACCCAATTGGGTTCGTTCTTCATCAGTCATGTCGTTGAAGACATTTCGCACATAGGCGATCTGTTCCTCTCTGGTTTCTTCCTTCGACGTCTCCTTCTTCTGTGCGAGGTCTTCTCGCATCTTCTTGATCCATGTGATCATGTCTGTGTCTAACCCGGGCTGTATCGTTCTAGCACGGGTGAAACTTCCAGACTGGGGGTGGAATTGTCTGTCGTTGGCTATATGGCCCTTCTTTCCGCATAGGAAACATAATCCTTCTTTCATTCTCTTTTGTCGCTCGTTCGGGGATAAGCGCGAGATATTGACACGATCAACATCCATCGCGTTTGGATCCTTTGCAGAAGCCGAGTAGTAGGGACGATGGACAGATTGGCCCTTTCCTCGCGTCGTCGTAGTGGCTCCTCGCTTGAAGATCTGAGCAGATCTCCATTGGTTATCAAACCGCGAGACATATTCATACCACTTGTCAAGTGTCTTGGGCATGCTTTCCATCCCATATATCCTTTGTCGGAGTGGGTCGTTAAGTACCCACTTGAAATACTCAATATTTCCGGCATCTTCTAATTTCGCCTTGGATTCAAGCGATCGGAATTCGGCAATGTAGTCATCCGCGGTACGAGTCCCTTGCTTGATGTTATGTAGCAAGGTACGAACAGTTTTTTTGATATTTTCATTGCCAAATGCTTTGTTCACACTCGCAATGAACTCTTTCCAACTTCCATAAGAAAGGAAGTCGTCATTGGTAAGTTCTGTTTCTATGAAGCTCTGCGCCCATGATCCTGCTGTCCCTCCTTGCATGTGCGACAGCACGAATGCAATCTTCTGATTGTCCTCTTGGTAGACATGGCTATTTCCAGCCATGTAATTCTTGCATTGGTTTATAAATTCCCTGAGCTTCGAACGGTCTGAACCGTTGAAGATCTCGGGTTTTCTAAAACCAAGTTCCTTTTGGCTAACATGGTGATGACCTTTATCCATGGTAATTGTAGCCACTGGTGGGACGTCAACAGTTACGATTGGTGCAAGAGTCGATTGTGGTATGGGATCCTGGGCAGGGGGGTTCCAAGGGGCATCTGGTCTTTCTCCTCGATAAGAGATCGGTATACCACTGTCTGCGATGTGTAGCAGTACAAGCTCTCCAACGTTATGGGGTAGATTTGCTTCATAGTCACCACCTGGGTGATCGATGTGCTGGTCTGGTCTGATGAATAAGGGTCGTCCGTTTAAAACGTGTACGTTCCTCTGTGCGTCCCACTCTGCCTGAGATGGGAGGAGATCGATGTATTGCTTGGGAAGAGCAGTCGTGTTGATAAAGTTCAAATCCAGTGTGGATAAATTCTCCTGTGTGACCTACGTCTACACGTAGACTGCACACCATCCTTAACTAAGTGGGTTCGTTCATCGTCGGCTAACAAGCCCGTAGAGTGTCTTCTGCCTTCAAACTGATACACCTATTTGCTGATTGCTCGAGTGATTACCTCAGCCTCCTCGGCCTATTGGTCTCTCGGACAGACCCCTCTCCGAATATTAGTGATCAGTCTATCCCTTCAGCTACCTCGATTACAGAGTAATCTCAAACGGTGCTTTAGCAATCGAATTGGGTGTATCGTTTAGTCTTCAAGGTTCGGTCCGGTCGGTAGTTCGTTGTTAGACTTTTAGGAAGTCACAGAGAGTAATAAGATCTGGACCTAATGTTACGTGGCAGCGAAACACGAGCGTCAAGTGGAGTCATCACGAGACAAGGTCTTAGTCTAAGACACAAGTCCGTTCAAGTGACACTTCTGGCGATGTCCTCGCACTGAAGGTCGATCAGAGTTTGTTCTTATGACTCGTAGTAGCTGTCTGCTACTAACGGTCGATCTTAGTAAAAGGCAAGTGAAAAGCTGGTTTAATAGTAACCAGGTCGAGATGGGGATCCAGCTCGACAAGGTCGTTTACTTATACAAAAGGTATCCGCAGTACTACGCAGTAATGCGGGATCGTTCATTGGCTAGATAAGGTGAAACGATGTCTGGGCAAGGTAACAGCGAGAAAGTAATATGTATGAGAAAGCTGAGTAAGGTCGTGAGAGATAATCAGTACTAATGGGAATAACGAGTCGTGTATCGGAACGAGGTAAAGATGAGGCATACATGCACATCTTGCATGCGCGATAAGAAGAAGGTCCGGAGTTGGATCCGGTGTAACCCTAGACTAGGGGTTCTGGACATCTGGATAAAGAATCGGAGGTTGCACTCCGATGAGTCACGTGTTGGATCACGTGGTCTGGTAACGTAAAGGGAACAAGGAAAAGAAAAAGAAAAGATGCGCCACAAGTGAGGAGCGTTGTAACACGATGCCTACAACCAGTGCAGGGCTTAACGGGTTTTCTTATATGAGGCCTACAACCAGTGCAGGACTTTCTAAGTCTTTTTCGTCTTCCTAATCTGGGTGCCTACAACCATGTGCAGGGCTTACTGAGTCTTCTGTGTTCCTATCCGAGTGCCTACAACTGTGTCCAGGGCTTTACCGAGTGCGCGTGTTCTAATACAATGTGCCTGGCCGATAACTCTCCTACGTGTTGTCAGAGAACTTTCCGAGAACGGTTTGAGTATCTAGCAACTGTGTGCTAGACTACCCAAAAGAAATGATATGAGAGTGCAGTAGTTGTGTTCGTAACAACTCACTGCCTGCACTGAACTGACTTCATCGGGATCCTTTTACCCTCAGTGAGGGCCTTACTGCAAGCACCCATGGGATAGGTCATCGCCAGGACATGTTTCCGCCAGCAATCGGCCCACCGCCAAAGGTCAGAGGGTTGGCCATGGCCAGAGCATGTTTGTCTGAGCAATCGGCCCACCGCCAGAGTATGACAAATGAGCAGTGGGCCGATCGCCCAGAGTGTAACCTGAAGGATGGGCCCACCACCAAAGGTTAGAGGGTTGACGATTGCCAGAGCATGTTATCGCCAGCAGTCGGCCCATCGCCAAAGCACCCTCAGTGAGGGCCTTACTGCAAGCACCCATGGGATAGGTCATCGTCAGGACATGTTTCCGCCACCAATTGGCCCACGGCCAAAGGTCAGAGGGTTGGCCAACGCCAGAGCATGTTATCACCAGCAATCGGCCCACCGCCAAAGGCCAGTGGGTTGACGATCACCAGGATATGTCATCGCCACCAATGGGCCCATTGTCACATACAGCCCTGCAGTTTCCGGGCACATTGGTGGTGATGACGTGCTCTGGTGATCGCCAATCCTCTGACCTTTGCCGGTGGGCCCATCACTCACCAGCACTCATGGCGGAGGGCCAATTGGTGGCAAAAACATGGCTTGGCGATGGCCAACCCTCTGACCCTTGGCAGTGGGCCCTTTGCTGGTGGAGCGATATTCCCATGCAGTGAAGCTTTCACTCAGGTCCTTTGGCGATGGGCCAATTGCTGGCAACAACATGCCTTGGTGATGGCGAGCGCAGTCCGCCCATCTCAAGAGTACACTGGAGGAGCGATGGGCTTTAGAGCTTAGTGATGCAGAAGTGAATGTATCCATTTTGTACTGGTATACAAGCTGTTACATAGCGGTCATATATTGCTAACACCAGAACGCTCAAAGACACTAGTTCAGTTGCTGCGATACGCCTCGCCACGAATGTCCCTCAGAATGTACCCCATTTGGAACACGGTCGAGCTGGCATTGAGGTTCGCAACGTGCATATCCTCAGTGAGGTTGAGCTCACGCTGAAGACGTACAATGCGCTCCCGCAACATGGCGCAACGACGACTAACCGCAAAGCTATCACCTTCGTCATCGTCCACTATGAATAAGGTCAACATCAGACTGAAGGTTGCCAGGGATGTACTCACTGGAACTGTCTGCCTCTGCTGCGATCTGTGCAAACGATCTACCGAGGCGGGCCACTTGTGAGCCAGAAGCGGCATTCGTCTCTCCAGGGACTGCCATTGGCAGCAGCTGTGTGGTATCTGGGAATAAGCCTGGAACCTGTTCCCAATGGGTGGGACGATGGATCGGCAGCTCATCTGGAAGTGCTGCCAGACTTGGCATCCTGGAAGTAACAGTGACTGGCTCGATGCTGCCTTTCATATAGTGAATGACAGGTGCATCGTGGTGGAAATTGCTGTCATCGAAAGTGCGAGCTGGCGAGTGAGAGGGTGCCGATGGCGGAGGCGGTGGACTTAAAACATCATCCAACAAAGGCCGCCTCTTTGGAGGCGAAGTGCTGGGACTATTTAGCCACCGGACCTGGCTACACACAGGCATCGCGCCAGGGCTGTCTATCACCAGAGCTCGCCATCGTCCTGGCATGGCGGGAGGACTATTGTCAAAGTCCAGCAGTTTTGGCACTGGTTCCACGTCAAGTGTCTCGTCCACCAGCATGCCCCTCGCCATCGGCATACTTGCTTGACTATCGAAGTAGATGGATGTACGTGGCGTAGCGTCAAGGGGCTCAGCAATGAGCGATCATCGAGGGAGTTGGGAGGTGTCAGGAGTGCGAAAGTCGAAAGTGTGAGCTGGTGGAGGAAGGGGAGTAGCTTCCAACAGGGCACGTCGAGGGATTGGCGAGATGCCAGGAGTGTCGAAGTTGAACATTCCACTGGGTGCAGTGGGGGTGGAATCTGAGATGAGTGCATGCCTATGGATTGGCGAACTGCCATGACTTTCATCCCAAGCTGGCGCCAGAGGGTCAGGAATAAGTGCGTGACTTCCCTCCACAGGCGCCACAGATCCAGATGACGCCTGTACCTTTGGCGAGGCGTGGCGGTGGAGATGCTCATGTGGTGAGTTGGATGGCGCAAATGGAGCCGCCAGGGACGGGGTAGTGTGGCGGGGCACGAGGGGTGTCTGAGAAGCAGAGTGGAGAGGCAAGGAGATCTGGGCAGATCCAGGAGAGTCAAGGAGATCCGAAATGAGTGGACGACGGGGCTTAGCGATACTATCCTCCTCATCCGACTCGCCCATCATAATGTCCAGCATGTCAGGAGGTTCCGCGTCACTGGCCATGGCAGGTAGATTGTGGCGAGCAGACAAGTCTTCGATTAGTCCTGGATCGCGGGAGATCAGTTGTAGAAAGGGGATTGATATGACATAGAAAGGTCAGATAACATCACAAAGGAGTCAGATTCCACAAGGAGAGCAATAGAACTTACTGTTGGGAGCCATGAGAACTTGCGGCAGGTCACACTGACCTTGAGAGACTTGAGAAATCGCGCAAGTCCAGCGATCACGTGCAAAGCACGTGGTCGCGTGGCGTGTGAAGTTGAACTTGGTGCAGATCACGTCTGCCAGCTCATAGCATCGTCTGCTCTGCCTCCACTGTACTGCAACCTCTGCTTTTGAAACACCCTCACACTTTCTTCTGCCAAGCTCACCATGCCTCTGGATATCGACCCCAACTATGTTCTGCAGGCCGCGCAACTGACGGCCATTGTTGCAGCGGCGCCTCGCCAGGACGACCCTTGCTATCCAGACTGGGAGACGAGGATTTACCTCGAAGTGGTAAGTCATCAGTCGAAGGTCTGGCATGCACTTACCGAATATGCCACACAGAGTCGGCTTGAAAAGAGTTTCCCGCAGCCCTTGAAGTCGTTGAGGATGCCTGGGATTGTCATCAGCGCGTTGCTGGAATTCACCCAGACATACCAGCAGAAGGTCCTGGCGCGGCTGGACCACATATCGAACGACGACGAGAGGATATACAAGAGGTACCCTCCGGCTGTGCGCGAGTATGGGGAGTGTGAGGACCTGGGAAGGCAGTGGTGGACTGAAGGTGAGTCACAAGCGTTGTGAGGCGTCGAGCGACACACTGACTGCACCAGATCCATATTGCAAGCTGCCACCGGTGAAGAGTACGCCAGCGGAGGGCTGGGGCAATGTGCCAGCCGATGATGACACCCAGGGACGTGGCGAGGAGGACCTGGCTACTGGGGACCTCATCACCAAGGGGAAAGGCAAGGAGAGAGCTGACAACGACGTCGGGACAGGCATGGTGGGTGAGCGTATCGTCCACGTGGAGGCGGGGGAGGACAAGGGAAAGGGCAAGAGCAAGGAGAAGGCGCAGGGGAAGGCGGTGCATGCGATGAGCGAGGAAGAGGATGGGGGAGAGGGAGAGGGAGAGGGAGAGGAGCAGGAGGGCGAGGACGACGACGATGCCGACAGTGACGAGGACGACGATGCCGACAAAGATGACGACGATGAGATGGCGGAAGACGTGCCGGGTGCAGGCCAGCCCGAATCTATCGAGGTCGATGCGGCGTCGCCCCCTCCACCAACTGCCAGACCAATATCGATCTCGCCAGCTGCCCCATCACTCCGAAAGCGCAAGGCGGTCATCACAGAGTCGAGTGAGGAGAGTGAGAACGAGGAGGCGGCTCCGAAGGCGAAGCGGATGAAGCCGATCGAGGTCGCAAAGGAGAAAGGCGAGGCCCCGACCACCTCTGGCCGAGCGCAGCGTGCGCAGAAGAGGATGGCGCAGACCGAGGTGGAGGGCTCGAAGGTGAGCACGAAGAAGAGCGGGAAGAGGAAGGCGAAGGAGTCAAGCGATGAAGAGGAAGTACCGACCATCAAGCCGCCAAAGAAGAAGTGTGCGACGAAGGAATACAAGAGCAAGGAGTTCATCGAAAGCGAAGACGAGACTCCGGCACCGCCTTCCAATCTACCCGCCAAGATCGCAGGGGACTCTAACGACGGTGTTGCGAAGACGAACGCCCCTGCCAAACCTGTCAAACAGACAACGAGGATGACGGTGACGCCTCATGTCGCACCGAAGGCGAAGGCAAAGGGGAAGGCAAAGGCGACGGCGAAGGGGAAGGCGACGGTGAAGGCAAAGGCGAAGGTGACGGTGTTGCAGAAGGACATGTGGAAAAAGATGTCCACCCGCGTGTCTGACTTCATGTGGGCACATGCAACAGATTCGGTGAGTAACGATCTTGTGAGACATTGACCTGTGCTAATGTTCCTGCAGCTCGTCCCTTGCGTTGGCTGCCAGGAGAAAGAGTGGCCATGCAAGCTCAACACCGCCAACTTTGGTCGCTGCCTCGAATGTGCAGCACGAGGTGTCAGTTGCAGCATCGCGCCGAGGAACACGGACAGTGTGTCCCTGCGAGGAAACTCACACACTGCACAGCGTGAGTTCCAAGAGATGTGCGCAGCGCTGGTGGTAGAGGGCAAGCCACTGCCCACGTCGCCACCTCCATACAACGTCAAGGTCGACTCTGACGAGCCCGACAGTGCAGAACCCATGGTCATGGGAGCATCGAAGCGCAAGCCGCCGAAGAAGACCAAGATGCGCAATGCTGCAGCATCCAGCTCCAAGGTCAAGGGTGGCGAGGAGGTCGAGGCGACGAAGCAGAAGGCGACCGTCATGCCCTATGAAGCCAACGCTGAAGGCGAGGCCTCGGTGGAGAAATCGTCAAAGTCCAAGTGCGCCACCAAGTCCACCACCGCCACTGGAGCTGTGGCTCTGTCCAACTCTGGCGAGGTCTCCAAGTCTGGCGCGCCTGCCAAGTCTGGTGCGGTCGCCAAACCTGGCGAAGGTAAGAAATCAGGACCCAAGGCAAAGCCGGTGAGGAGCCAAAACTCAGGTGCGCAAGATGGTGGCGAGGTCACCAGGACCTCAGTACGTGAGCCAGATGAGGTCCCACCTGCCAAGTCTGTTGCGAAGGAGGGCGGGCAGACGACAAGGGTGGTGATGGGAGGTCGCTCAGGCCCAATGGTGCCCGTGATCACCAGGAAGGCGAAGGTGAGTGCTCCGAAGGCAGCAGCCAAGATGCCTCTGGTGGAAGGCGATGGCATGGAGGAAGCCGCCAGGCTGGCAATGGAGGCGGTGCGGGCTATGGCCTTCCAAACAGGGCCAGCTGCTCCACCGCAAGCTAGCAGCAGCAAGCGCATGCTGACACCAGTCGCCGATGAACCAGAGGATGCGCCAGAGTATCAGGCAGAGGTGGCGGAGGATGAGGTAAGCAGGACATCTTGTCGCAGCTGGAGTCAATGTAACCATGAGACAGCGCGCGTCCTTGGAGCGGCCACACGACGATCGGTGGCGTTCGCTGCTGATGCCCCACGAGATGAGCGCAGGAGCTGCCGAGGTGGCACAGGAGGTGACGCCCTCCCTGGAGATATCCAAGGCGTCGAAGGGAGCGAAGTCCTCCACATTGGCAAAGGCAGGACATCTCAATGAAGGGCGAAGGCCAGCTAAGAGGGGTGCCCCACTGGACCGCAAGGCAGCGAAGAAGGAGGCGGAGGCGAAAAGGGATGCGAAGGCGAACCGCCTCAGAGCAGTGCCTCCGACCAGCAAGGGTAAGTGCGCCCGCCACAGCTTCGAATCCATGCAGCGCTGACCAGGGATACAGCACCCCACTTGCGCGACATCCAGCGAGTGTCTACAGGAAGTCCCGCTCCGGTGAACGAAGGCGACACCCCCAGTGGTGAAGAAACCTCGCAGTCATCCAACGATGACTGTGCGAATTGTGCCGAGTTGTGACAGGAGTTCCTGGCGCACAAGGACGGGATGGAAGTTCAATTCCAGGAGAGGATGGCGGACCTCAACACCGTCAAGGCAGAGATCACAGCGGCACTCCAGCGAATCAACCCGCCATCCGCATTTCAAGAAAATGCCCGGAGCATTCGCGAAGAGGTCAAGTTGGCGATGGAGGAGTTTCGCAGGCCGGTCACCATCGAGCTTCAGGAGAGCATGAAGTTGGCAGTGGCGGACCTCGTCGCCAAGCGACATTGCCTGCCAGAGCTCAAGGAGAAGGTCAACAGGTTGGAGCAAGGCGCGAACCAGACGGTGAGCCAAGCGGACGTCAACAAGCTGCAGGGTGAATTGGCCGACCTCCGTCATTCAATGGAGCTCCAGGCAGCGCGGTCAGACAGCATGGAGAAGGAGCTCAGGTCTTTGGCGGCAGAGGCGATCGCTCAAGCGAGCAAGCTGGAGATGGAATTGGTGCTCGCCAAAGAGGATTCGATGGCGGTGGCGACGTCCGCTTTGGATGAAGCGAAGAAGGTGGCGAAGGAGGTGGTGACGGCGAGAGAGGAAACCTCGCTGGTGGCGAAGTCTCTGGACGCATTCCGAGAGAAGGTCGACTCCGCCATGGTCTTCACCGCCTTTCACCCAGATAGACACAATGTGTAGTCATTAGAGTATTGATATACATGCTTTTTAACCTAGCATGGAATCTCCATGCACTCGATTCGCCACTGCCACTCCAAGTCAACTGAATGCCTGCTGAAGTTCTCGCCAACTCCCCTCGCCATTGCCACCATCTCCATGGCTTTACCTATGTAAATCTATGGGTCACATTAAACAATGTGGAAGCCTACGAGTCTACTTTGAACTGGAGTTATATTGTCAAGGTCTGGTGCCGCCACTGCGGGTCTTGCGACCTGCGCCAACTTGGCCACTCTCTTTCACTTTGGCAGCTGCTTTCCCCAGACGGACCGGCTTCAGCTTGGTTTCTCCCTTGTCCTTGACCTCCGGGGTCTGAGGCAGAGCTTATCTTCGCTTTGCGGGAGGCTTGTCACCATCATCCGAGTCCTCGGCCCTCGCATTCTTCTTCCTCGGCGAGGCCACTACCAACTCGTCCCGAGTACCATGTCCACGCTTCCGAGGTGGCGGATTGTCTTCGCCAGAGCTGTCTTCGCCATCGGGCTCGGGACGTGCTGGTTGACGTTTCCGCTTTGGATCAGGAAGCTTCTTCAAATCTTTCACAGCTCCTAGTGGATGCTGACTGCGGGTATTCTTGGCGGGCGACTCATCCATCGCTTGACGCTGACTGCGAGTGATCCTGCCGGGGATATTACTCTGAAGAGCATCGGTGATTGACCTTCCCTGGAGCGCTTTGGCTTGACCTGACAGACGGTCTTCCGTGGCTGCGGCCTTCCTCGTCTTAGGTATAAACGGAGGCGGTGGCGGTCGTTCAGCACCACTGCTAGGTACGGACAAGTGTGCATCGTCCTCTTCGCCATCGTCAGAGGCCCCACCACTGGTCTCCTGGCTCGGCCCTTCGTCTCCTCCACTTGGAATGATTGGTTTGTCAGCCATGAGGGCAGGCTGGTGAGCCTTGTGAACTTTGGCAGCAGTAGCAGCGCCATCGTGAGTTCTTGCAGAGGCATCACCTTCCTGCTCCTCCTGGCCCCCAAGGCCATCGCCACCTTATGGGGCACCGCGTATGGCAGGCTTGCTCACTGGCTTCACCATGGCATGGGTGACGTTCCCTTCCACCATGTCCAAGGTAATGATCTCGCAACAGCGAAGCAGCTGCTCTACTGCATCAAATGAGATCGCCGAGTTCACCACATAGTCGGGAAGGTTGGTCGGTTCGCCCTCCTCAATGAACTGAGATCGTGTGAGGTCCCTCAGCGCCATACCAATCACGAGTGCAGATTGTTGTACGCCCTGTGGATGTAAGAACCGATATTTTGTGAGCCATGGTTTGTCGCCCAACCAGTTCTCGACGATGTCAAAGTTGTCCACCGCATGAAATGACAGCGGGAGGTAGCGCTGGCCATACGACCATTCGCTCCAGGGAATCGGATCATACCTGGTGAAATGATACACCTGGGGCTATATGACGGATGATCAATAGTGGCTATGAATCCCCACGAAAGGAGCTCACCACAGTCGCAATCTTGACTTGCTTCAGCATATCCTGGTATTGCAGTTTGATGGAAAGGGTGGCAAGAAACACGTCTCTCCTTTTGACGAGGTGGGGCACAGTACTCCCCACAGTACTCCCGCCAGTGAGATGTGGGGCTCGGCCTTGAAGCTCAAGCCTCAGCTCCTTTGTACTGGGCTCCAGTTCACTCGATGCTTCATCAGTCTCCTCCGTGTCAAATCTGTGCAGTGCGCCCAGAGGAAGGTCTTGGCGATCTCGCTTCTCCTTCACCTTGGCACCGCTACTGCTGGCTTGAGGTGCACCGCCATTGTTAGCCTTACATCCACTGGTGGTGGCGACTGCCTTGCCCTTCGCTTTATTCGCAATCACGCTCTCGCCATCCCCTGAATCTTCATCGCTGGCCATATCTTCTTCAGAAGCCATGCTGGGTATATCTGGCGAACTCCTATCAGAGTCTTGGCTGCTTCTGGCATCGTCTTCCGAGTCGTATGCATCTTTCGTCTTGCGTTTACGCCCACCGCCTTTGGCTCTGCCAGGGGCCGCTTTGCCCTTTGTCGCCTTCGATGCTGCCTTTCCCATGACCTTGCGCACAGGTTTACCCTTCTTCTTCGCCTTCCCCGCCTTCTTAGGTGTGAGTGCTTCTTGGACCTCATGTTCAGATCCTTCTTCTAATGCCTGTGCTGATCCGTCAAGTGGTGGAAGAGGATCATACTTGGCGGGAGCAGCTTCGCCATCCTTGTCGAAGTACTGGGTGAATCACATGGTCTGCTCAGGTCCATGTTCCTCTTGACGTGCCCGCCAGTGGTCGAGGAGGGCACGAACGGGAACACTTGTCATCTTTGAGGGATCGATCCACTGGAAGTTCTCAGGTAGCATCTCCGCTGGAATAACCTCATTGATGTCGTCTATGCTGTTCAGCTTCGTCCATGGCGACTTGCAGTTCCGAACACCCTTCGCCAATGCTGTAAACTGGTCAGCATCTCTCAACACCCAGTGGGAGTGTCATACCGTAGTGATGATTCATGAAGTCTCGAACTTGTACCTTCATCACCTTGAGAGGCGCTTCCGCCATACCTTCGGGCACCGACGGGAGCAGAGGAAAACCGTTGGCCGTCAACCGAATCTTGTCCATGGCCCGCATGCAATCGGCAGGTGTCTTCTTCACCGTCACCGTAGTCTCAGTCACACCTAAGGAATCAGGTCAGTGTGCCAGCGACAATGCAACTGAGGTCTTCTTACCGTATTCACCTTTGGCCCACTCAGAGAACACCTTTGCTAGAGGCTGGTAAGCACGCAGCCACCCAGGATAGGCCCCGAATGGAGTTCCATTGGTGATGGCGTGGTTGACCTCCACCCTTCACTCGGGGTTTAGCAGATGGTGACAGTCGGACGGTCTACGCTCACATCTCTACCTTCAGACTCCCCGCTTCCTTCGGATATGCTAGCATGAATGCCATGCGAATGCCCATGGTGTCCCACATAGTCTTGGCAAACTTCTTCAGATATTGCATCATTCGCTGCTCCCTCAGCCTGTCTTAGGTCAGGATTTGCCTTATGCTACGTGACAGGAGGTACGCACTTCATTTTCGTCTTATCATTCAGAGTGCCATTGCGCCAACTTTCCGCCTTTTCCTCATACACCTTCTGCTCCTCCTCGGACAGTTTTGCCCATTCGGCACTCCGTGCGACTCTCCACACCTTGGAGACATTGCAACCCTTATCTGCCGCGAGTGCTCGCGTGGCCTCAGTCACCTTGTCCCTCTCCAGCGCATCCCACACCTTGAAGGCATTGGGCTTGCCAGAAACATGCATATGCTTTTTCGTCACTTTCTCCTGCGCATGGCGGGCGTGGTTATTGAGCCACTCTCGGATTTTCTGCAGTGAGAGTTAGTGGGGACCTCACAGACATGAAACACTGCTCACAGTTTCCACAATGATGTCGTCATAATTTGACGCGTCGACAAACTGTGTCTTCAGCTTCTGGTGCAAGCTCTGAACCAGAGTCTTGCATCCCTTGGCATCTGCCATGTCATAAGACCGCAGCTTCTCAGAGAGTATGGGCTGATGCTCCGTCAAAATTACAAATCTCGCCGGCATGCTTTCTCGATGTCGAGGATGAGATTTTTGTGTTGGGGCAGTGAAGGGGGTCGATAGTTCAACGGGCAGCGCTCTGTCCATTTCCTCGTCAGCCGCCCACAACTCAACATGCACGTGCTGATGGCCCATTTGGGCTTACACCAATTACCCTCCTCGCCATGGTGTGTGGTGACTGCTGAAGCATTGTATGTGTATTTTTCGCAGTGGCGGGAGGTGGTAGTAGGTATGCACTAGCATTCATGCCTGGTGAAAGGCAATGTTGAATGCCGCTTCTATGGCAGAGCACACCACGCCAACTTCATCTTGCGAATGCTGGGCGGAGGCAATCTGGCGATCATCTGCATGCCAATCTGTGGGATAAAGGGCTTCCTCGGAGTTAGGCTCGGCCAATTAGATGGCGGTGACGAAGGGCCCAGACATGGCGGACCACCCGGCCCATGATCCGGCATGGCGGCATCAAGTCCGGCTTGGCGGCATGATGAACATGTGAGATGTGCAAGGGACGTGCTTGCAAGCAATATGCAGGCAGATGAATGCATACTGTTCTTTGCCATTCTGGCCCCTCCTACATTCTCCCCTGCATCTGCAAGCCAACCGCCTGAGCCCGCCATACACCTGTGCATTCCTTCAACCGATGCATGCTGTAATTGTCCCATTGATTGGCAGACAGTATCAAGATGAGCAATCTGTCACCCATGCCACTGACCGATCAGATAGCAGGAGTCTTAGAGCTCATGTTCTGCCGAAAGCTCCATCTGGCCACTCATGCAGCCCATTCTGCGCCATCCATAAAAGTGCCTCCGTCCATGCCATCCGCCGTCCTATTGGAGTGCAATGGCATTGCAGATGCTCTTGTGAAGGCCATCCGTAATCCTGGTAGTCATTAGTCTTGCCGCAGGTCTGATCATACTGATCATGCCATTGTAATAGTAAGGCTGCAGTGGGACATTGATAGATATTGCGACAGCCTTTCAATTCAGCCCACGGGGCAGAATAAAGTCCTCGAGGCAGAACTGGAACGGAAGTGGCCTCCTCCATTTGGTGAGAGCGAAATACGCATAGACCAGCCCGCCACCCTCGTGGACATGCACAGACGCATCTTGGCTTGGATACTTCCAAGAGTGTTGATACCAGACCGTCAGGTGAGTGGCTTGCCCAGCCTTGCGCTGTGATCTGACAAATTTGTCAGACGAAGATGCTCCAAGCGACCAGGGCCCTACACCCAGCAATAGCAGCCAGTAAGCCTTCCAGCACCACCGCCAGTTGGCGACACAACCCGTTGTACTTCTTGCCTCCTGAGGAGTGTGCCTAATTCCCAGCGGGCTCCTTGTGTCTCTCGCCAGGTTGGTTCCAACAAGTAAGAGAGGTGGGTCTCCTCGCCACGCCATTTGCCTTGTGTCTGGAAAGGCTTTGCAGCATATGGAGTCTGGGAGGCTGGAGACCTCCGCCAGCCTGAAGCTTGAGGGTGGAAGACGTTGGCTGCATGATATTCATGACTCCTCCGCATTGCTGGGTGCCATCCTGGCCGTCGTTCACCCAATGCTATATGCCGCAGGATGCCAGTGCTTGGGTTTGATCCAGCAAGACTCAGAATTGCGAGAGATGGCACTGAACTGGTTATCACCATTCAATGCGCTCCAGGTGATCGCCAACCGGGAAACTCCTTTCCACCGAGATAGCAAGACAAGATACACGTTCTACGACCTGTTGGCGACATTGGGCAACTACACTTGCGCGTGGTTGAAGTTCCCCGCCATGCATGTCGCCATCGATTATAGTCCTGGAACTGTCGTAGCCTTCTGTGGAAAGGCGATTCGTCATGGCGTCACTGGAGCAGATGGCGAAAGGCTCGTCTATGCATACTTCATGCGAGAGGGTGTCCAGAACAGGCTAGGCATTCCGGCGCCCCACTGGATGCAAGCTTCATATTACGCCTCACACATTGGCATGTGCACAGTTCATCACCGAGTCTGCATTCCTAACTCAGAACAGGTCCTAACTGGCTCTCTTATTAGAGGGACATCATGCCAAAGACTGATGGAGACGAGAACACTATGCAGGGGATGGAGACTGTCGATGGCAGCTTCATTGGCGGGACAAAGTTGGCGGAGGTGATGGCGAAATGTATGGAGTCACGAATTTCCGAATCCTAGCTGAAGGTTGGCGAGCGCGCGGTACGAGTGCGCATTTCACATCTCGACAGTGTTCAGCTCAAGGTGTAGTTATCACTGATGGCAGCGTATGGTTGGCGGAGCTCAAAGTTGGCGGAGATGGTGGCGAAATGTATTCGGTCATCGAGAAGTTGTGAGTGCTAGTGGGGCAGATGGCGGCAGTGTTGGCGAGTGCACAGTGCAAGTGCACATTTCCCTTTTGAACATTATGCTACTCCGAGTCAAGGCAAAGTTAGCACTGAGGGCGACATACGATTGGCGGACCTCTCACCAACATGGCATCCTTATCTGCATAACGCTGATATGGTGCCTAAAGAGACCATGAGGTGATAAGGCCCAGGCATTGCAGCCATTCTTAACCACCTTAATGAGTAGTCTGATGGGCAGCAAGGCCGTGTGTGATTTGCACGTGTTGTGCGATAGGGACACAATGCTCATCGATTGGCTTGGAATACGACTCCCCACTAACCTGAACCATGAGCAGACGCAACAAAAGCAGGCTCGTTGTAGACCTGGATGACGAGGTTGAGTTTGTGACCAAGGTAGCTAAGCAGACCACTAGGGGAGTACGCTATGTGGACGTACCTTTGCCCATGCCCACGGGTTCAAACGTGCCATCGCCTTCCAAAAGTCCATCGAAGGCTCCAGCTTCAGGCTCCTTGTTTAACTTGGATGATGGCGACATCCTGGGCAACATAGGTGTGCTGATTCAGCTGGATCCGGTGGCTCGGAAGACAAAGGTGGGCACTCCCGCCATGACCATCTGACGGTCTGACCATGCACGATAGACCCAGAATGACTTCATGAGGGACTGGATACCCCACCGTGATGACTATCTTCATGCCATTGTCGAGATGGAAGCCCCGCCTGAGCCCAGAAACTGTGCGGAATGCAAGGTTGGTGAGGGACGGTGGCGATGCCTGGACTGTATGGGCAGACCACTCACCTGTACCGACTGCTGTCGTAACGGCCATCGGCGTGCTCCTTTCCATCGGATAGAGCATTGGCAGGGTCAGTATTTTGAGCCGGCATTACTGTATCGGGTTGGCGTCTGCATCCATTTGGGGCATGATGGAGATCCCTGCCCTCTGGGCGCCTTCACAGCACATAACAACCCTGCGCCGGTGGTGGCCCTGGGGTCCGATTTCTGAAATGCCTCCAATGAAGACCTAAATGCACATGATGGCGAGGTCTCAGATGATGGCGAGGTCCCATTCAACTTTGCACCGCTGGCAGGTGCCCTTGATGGTGAAGTAAGGCAAACTGACGATGCTCCTGATCCCACTTGGGAGGAAGATGTGCCACCGGTGCTCTCCCGGCCACCTCGCCGTGATAGTTACGGGAATCGGATCATAGTCATTGTCGACATCTCTGGCGTTCACCATATCGGCGTTGACTGGTGCCAGTGTGAGATGGCGGTGGAGCGTGACATGCAGCTTCTTCAAATGGGACTTTACCCTGGTACCGTCAAGGATCCCCATACCGCCTTCACATTCGCCGTCCTCGACGATTTCCTTCTGGAGAACAAAGAGTGCAAGACAGCGGCATTGAACTACTACAGCAAGCTCAAACGGGTCACGAGCAATGCCTTCCCTGGCACCATTCCCATAAGTGTTCACATGCATTCCCATGGCCCAACCGTTCATGCCAGTTCCTCGCCAGGACCATTATCGTGAGCTGATGCGGGTGTCCTGCCAATGGCGCCAATTCAAATATCGCAAGTGGCACGGCTTCTCACACAATGCCCTCCATCCTGTGGAGAAGGGTGGCCTCGCCATCTTTTGTCCCACCTGTCCCCAGCCTGGGCTCAACCTGCCTTTCGATTGGCAAGCAGATCCAGTGCAGTGGAAGTTCAAACACGGCTTTGTCATAGATGGCAATTTCAGTGCAGAGCACATGAAGATGAAGCACCCCGAGGAGGACGTCGCCCTCAGTGATGGCCAGGCATTCATGGTCGGCCAAGAGGATTACAAGGCTCATCTGGCAGTGGCCATGGAGTCGCATCAGGTGCGTGTCTGGCTGCACATTCTTCTTCCGCCCTTGACTCCTAAGCCCACCAGCGCTCCACTTGTCATGAGCACCGCGCTGTCAATCAGGCCAATGTGGATCGCGCCAACCTCGACGCCACAGGAATCGGGGCCACTGCTTGCGCCAGACATGGTTTCTTCGTCCCTCATACTGTCGTTGATTTCCAGAAGGGAGAAAGGTTCGCATATGTCTCTTGTCATGATTCATTCTCACCGACGCACCCTCTGCAGACAAATGAATATGGATTACTCTCTCAGCAATGCGCTCCTGACCCTCACCGGTATTACCCTCGTCCTCGTCATGTACGACATCATGTGCCAGTATGGCATCCATGTCCGCAAACGTTTCTGCCACAGTGCCTATCTGAGGATGCCCTTCGAGCTCAAGGTAGACCAAGGCATCGGCTTGTTTCATGTGCATGGACACCAAGATTGCTGCTTCCAACGGTTCTTGCCCAACTTTATAGTTGGCGCTGGTATGGTCGATGGCGAGGTCATCGAGACCCTGTGGGCGCCGACAAATGAGGTCTCAGGCAGTACCAGGGGCATGACCTGAGCTCACCGCCAAGAAGTCCTTGACGATCACATGAATGACTCCAACTGGAAGAAGACGACTCGCATGGGTGAGCCTGGTTCCTCCTTCCCTATTTGCCACCTGCCTTATGCTGCCTATAGTGCCAACCTTGATGACAAAGTGGAAACGCGTGCTCCTGGGCTTCCCACGAAGCAAGGAGTCCTTTGAAGCTTTATCTGCATCCACAGATGAGGATGTCCTTGAGGCATGGCAGAAGGAGTACGACGACGCTATGGAGGCTCGCCAAAATGATCCGAAGATCATGGACACCTTCGATGTCCAGCTCATGAAGGGTGAGTATCCTTCCATCGTCGTGTGGCATGTAGTTGACGTGAATGCAAGCCCCGGGTAAAGACCTCACCCAACTCAGACTGGCGGGCGAGGAGTCTGCCAAGGGCTTGGAGAAGGGCACCGCCGGATGGTTGTCGACTGGCCTCAAAATTCAAGAAGCACAGTGAGTTTGCCTCATCTTAACAAAAATACAGCTCTGACGGCCTTCAGGCTTAAGCTTGCAAATGATATCCGCAAGGCAGGTCAAAATCCGAGTGTGGCGGAGGACCTCAAGACTCTCGAGCACCATCAGCACCTCGAAGTCAGCATTCTCACATTCCAACGTCGCTCTGAGAAGTTCATGGGAAGGTTGAAGGACGTTCCCGCCATGGAAGATCGTGACGATGGTGCGCTCTGGGATTCCTTGGATGAGAATCCTTTTCAAATACACCTGGAGGATGCTGAGTATGGTGAGGATGCGATTTCACCCGAGCGAGCTTCCTTGAATTTACCTTCGCAGATCAGATTTGTGGCCGCTGTCGCCAACGGGCTCCAGACCCTGGCGGCCCAAGAGTTGGAGTTGCGCAAAGGCCTGATGAATGACATCCTCCACGAGCTTCACATGGCGCTTGGACTGAAGTCTTACCTCTACCGCAAGAGGGTTCGTCCTGCCAACAGCGTCGGAACCATGACCCGTGCACAGGCGGAGGTTCATGCTGCCGATCAGACCGTCTTGGCCTGTGCCAGGCTCTATTCCGCCAACCGACGCGCCATTATGTGCTTGGGCGCCACCGATGAAGACTTGGCCCTCTATCGCCCTTTGGATAAGAAGGACCTGCACGTGAAGACTGCCGTCATCGAGGCTAGCACCTCCGGGCTCAGGAACGTCAACCTGGCTTGGTTCTGGACCATGGATGTCGCTGGAGATCGAGGTTCATCAGAATGGATGGACGAGTGTTCGTAATTGTCCGATCAATCTCTAGGCCTCCTGCTAATTTACCCTCCAGTCTATAGAGTGAATTGGCTGCGTGCCAGAGCTCGATATGAGAGATGGAGGGAGGAGCGTGTCTTGGTCCACTCGGAAATGGCCTGGACCATAGCCACCTTCAAGCGGAATGCGGAACGATGGGCTCACTGGCTCGAGATGACGGATCCTTCCTGGCGGGGTCATGTTTGCTATGCCGCCAGGCAAGTGAGTATGTGGCGGACCTTCGCCAGCCATGCCACTGACGCCTTCAGCCACATCCTCGCCCTGGACATTGAGGACGAAAGGGCGGGCAATGAAAATGTGCTTTGAGTCAGGGTTCACTGGGGTGTACGCATATTCATGTTTGCTATATCGATGTAGTGATCATCATGTATGTAATTCCTACTCACCAATATCACATTTGGCGAAGTGACCTCCATCCTCGCCTGAGGGCTTCATCTCGGCATGTGCTCTCCAATCGCATGACATCAGACATCAGATAAGGTCGATCAGATATCAACCTCGGCTCATCCACTCACCATCATGTCTGCCCAGTCTTCAACATCAGATGCGCGCCCCTGCCTGTTCTCCAGAGGGAGGTTGCAGTTGGAAGTCTACACTTGGAGGATCCAAGAAGCTGTTCTGGCACTGGAGCCTGACCCAGATCACTTCACCAAGGTCCGTTGGGAGGAAGGCTTGCGCCGGGAGATGGTACGCCTTTCTTGCTGATATCGCCTGACCCTGCTGAGTCCTGTGCAGTTCGCCGTCAGGGGTATCTGTGGCGACCTCGCGTTGGTGGGTCATGCTGACCATATTGACCATGGCGGAGTTATCGCCAGTGTCCTCACCGTCTGCACTTTCAATCGCGAAGTTCTGCGCCCCATCAGCATTGACGTCAAGGCGATTCCACGCCCCACCACCCTCGTTCCTCATCCTAAGAACCTACTCGAGGATTCACCCGACTACTGGTGGAAATGGGATCGTCAGGTTGGGCCGGCGGGGAGCCCTATGGAGGCCTGGTGGTACAAACTTGGTGATCCCTGGGTGAGTGGTACGTTCCAGCACCTTACAGTCTTGCTGAACCTCGAGAACATAGGAGAAGGTGTACACCGTCTCCGAGTCTACACTGGTGCAGCTTGAACAGCTGCATGTTCGCGTCGCGAACCTCACTAGTTGGTTGCATGAGAGGACAGATCAGAACCTGGATGTGGTGCTGGAAGAGCTGCAGGAGGCGACGCGGCAGCTGCGTGAGTTAGGAATGTAATCGCCCAATGCCAGGCGTCCGTTCGTGCTGTAGTGTGTTGAATATAAGGTTGTCATGTCTTTGAACCTGGGCAATGTACCTGGTGTGGTAAGGCGAAACATAGTAGCCACATACTCTCCTCAGGAGGGCACATCCCCAATGGTATCTGATGCATGGCTCGAAAGCCACTGCCACATGGGAGAGTTTGGCGAAGTCATTCTGGACTGCATGTTCAGATGGCGAGTGATATCCACCACAGTTCGCCAACCCTACTCACGGTGGAAAGGATCGCCATTCGTCTCCACATACTCTATCCAGAAGGGCACATCCCAAATTCTATCTGATGCATGTCTCGAAATGCCGATGCCAATTGGGAGAGTTTGGTGAAGTCATTCTGAACTCCATGTTCAGATGGCGAAAGATATTCGCCACAGTTTGCCAACCCTTCCCACAGTGGGAGAGAGTGTGATACTGCAAGGAGAGCTGATAGTGAGCTAACCAGAATTGGAGGGAATGATGGGTGGATTACGTGGAAATTATTGGCCAGCAGTAGCTCCATCATTGCCCTGTTAGGCGGTGGATCAATCACTGAAAAATATGCCCATGGCGGTGGACTGATCGCTAAGAACTACACCTATGGCGGTGGGCCGATAGGTCTGAGCAAGAGGTGCCGCATGAGCAATGACTCGGCGTCGGAGCCCCCTTCTTCTGTGGTGTCCTTCGGCTCGTACGCTGATTTGCACACGTCCGCATCCTCGTCTACTTCGTGCTCTTCAGTTGACTTCGGGTACAATCCGTTCACTTCGTATGGTCTACTTCTTGGCTCGGGCAACCAGGTGTGGCATCCGCCCATGCTTCCCCCTGACCAATCTCCACGTTTCATACATCTGCCCATGCTTCCCCCCGACCAATCTCCATGTTTCATATATCCACCTATGCTACTCCCTGATGAATCATCCGGTATGTTCCTTCACCCTCCCTGAAGAATCATTCGGTATGTTCCTTCACCCACCCATGCTTCACCAAGATGACACGGACACGATACGAGCCCAGTTGACAACCTAGGGCAAGGCAAATAACTCAGCTATGCCCGGGCTAGTCAGATATTTCAGGCGACCCATGCCTATGGGCTCAGAAATATACCTATGGTGGTGGGCTGATGGCTGTATAATAGCCCCGTGGTGGTGGGCCGATCGCTCAGAACACTACCTATGGAGGTCGGGCCATCGCTCAGAACACTACCTATGGCGGTGGGCCGATCGCTCAGAACACTACCTATGGCGGTGGGCCAATGGCTGTGTAATAGCCCCGTGGCGGTGGGCCGATCGCTCAGAACACTACCTATGGTGGTGGGCCCATCGCTCAGAACACTACCTATGGCGGTGGGCCGATCGCTCAGAAATATACCTATGGAGGTCGGCCCATCGCTCAGAACACTACCTATGGCGGTGGGCCGATCGCTCAGAACACTACCTATGGCGGTGGGCCGATGGCTGTGTAATAGCCCCGTGGCGGTGGGCCGATCGCTCAGAACACTACCTATGGTGGTGGGCCCATCGCTCAGAACACTACCTATGGCGGTGGGCCGATCGCTCAGAAATATACCTATGGAGGTCGGCCCATCGCTCAGAACACTACCTATGGCGGTGGGCCGATCGCTCAGAACACTACCTATGGCGGTGGGCCAATGGCTGTGTAATAGCCCCGTGGCGGTGGGCCGATCGCTCAGAACACTACCTATGGTGGTGGGCCCATCGCTCAGAACACTACCTATGGCGGTGGGCCGATCGCTCAGAAATATACCTATGGAGGTCGGCCCATCGCTCAGAACACTACCTATGGCGGTGGGCCGATCGCTCAGAAATATACCTATGGAGGTCGGCCCATCGCTCAGAACACTACCTATGGCGGTGGGCCAATGGCTGTGTAATAGCCCCATGGCGGTGGGCCGATCGCTCAGAACACTACCTATGGTGGTGGGCCCATCGCTCAGAACACTACCTATGGCGGTGGGCCGATCGCTCAGAAATATACCTATGGAGGTCGGCCCATCGCTCAGAACACTACCTATGGCGGTGGGCCGATCGCTCAGAAATATACCTATGGAGGTCGGCCCATCGCTCAGAACACTACCTATGGCGGTGGGCCGATCGCTCAGAAATATACCTATGGCGGTGGGCCCATCGCTCAGAACACTACCTATGGAGGTCGGCCCATCGCTCAGAACACTACCTATGGCGGTGGGCCCATCGCTCAGAACTATCACCGCAGCGGTGGGCCCATGCCTGTATAATAGTAGCATCATGGTGGTGGGCCGATCGCTCAGAAATACTCCTATGGCGGTGGGCCCATCGCTCCAGCATTCCCTTCATCGCCATGAGCCAATTGCTGACAGCTCCTTACACAGACCGATGGGCTGACGTCCGCTGGCTGTCCAGTTCATGACAATGTCAGGGTAAATGGGAGTCCAGTTCACAAACATGACTGAATGGGCTGGAAATCTCCCATGGCTTCACCATTTTTCTTCGTAGGAAAGAAAGATGGAGCACTACGTCCCTGTCAGGATTACCGATACCTGAATGAAGGGACGGTGAAGAACGCCTATCCTCTTCCACTCATCTCTGACCTTATGGATCAATTCAAAGGTGCATCGATCTTTACAAAAATGGATTTACGCTCCGGATATAACAATGTCAGAATCAAAGATGGTGACCAATGGAAGGGCACATTTAAGACAAATCATGGACTTTTCGAACCTATGGTCATGTTCTTCGGACTCTGCAACTCCCCAGCGACTTTCCAAATGATGATGAACGCACTCTTCAAGGACATGATCGATGAGGGATGGATAGTCATTTACATGGATGATATCCTCATCTTCTCGAACAATCTGGAAGAACATTACGTTCGAACCCGACGCGTACTCCAATGACTCAAAGACAACGACCTATTCCTTAAACCGGAAAAGTGTTTCTTTGACGTTAAAGAAGTCGAATTCCTAGGCATGATCATTCGAGAAAACTACATTGGCATGGACCCTATCAAACTTAAAGGAATTGCAGAATGGCCTGAACCAAGCACGGTAAAAGGTGTTCGCTCTTTCCTAGGGTTTGGAAACTTCTATCGGAAGTTTATTGCCAACTTCTCGGATATTGACAAACCATTGACGAATCTTATGCGCACTGCCGCTGGATCTCCACCTTTTGAATGGACGACAGAATGTCAGATGACTTTCGACACATTGAAGCAACGATTCAGTACCGCCCCAGTACTGTTACTGCCTGACAAGGCAAAACCCTTTATTGTTGAATCTGATGCTTCCAAGTTTGCTACAAGTGCAGTTTTACGCCAAGCCGACATCAATGGAGACCTCCATCCTTGTGCCTACATTTCACAGATGCTCAATTCAGCTGAACGGAAATCTACGACCGCGAACTCCTTAGAATCATTTGAGCCCTCACTGAATGGTGCCATTATCTTGAAGGCTCTCCCCATCCCGTCGAAGTTCGCAGTGATCACAAGAACCTCACATACTTCCGTACAGCTCAGAAGTTAAACTGCCGACAAGCACGATGGAGTCTCAAATTATCACAATTTGATCTTCAACTCATCCATGTTCCTGGCACTCAGATGATCCAATCTGATGCGCTATCTCGTTGTAATGGACTCGATGACAGTGAAAGTGACAACAAAGATCGCATTCTTTTACCTAACGCACTATTCGTGCGATCCATTTCCCCGACGCTATTTGACGAAATCAGGAATCACGCAGCAAAAGACCTCATTGTTCACGAAGCCCTTGAAGCGATTGCGCACAAAGGGCCATTCCCCATGAAATCATCGCTTTTTGACTGGGAAGTTTGCGATGGTGTCATCCTCTACAAGGGAAAGATTTACGTTCCACCATCCGAAACTCTTCGTCGTGACCTTGTTCGACTACATCATGACTCCCCTGCCATGGGCCACCCTGGAAAGTTCAATACTCTTGAACTCCTACGTCGTGAATTTTGGTGGCCCGGCATGTATGCATTTGTCAACAATTACATCGAAGGCTGTGCAGCCTGTCAACAGATGAAACCGAATACTCATCCAACTCGTATTCCTTTGGAACTGATCCCCGCAGACCCACACGCATTACCATTTTCCTGTTGCACCACAGATTTTATCACCGACCTCCCCGTTTCCAATGGCTTTGATTCGATTATGGTCGTAGTAGACCATGACCTTATGAAGGGGGTGATTCTTACGCCCTGCCTCAAAATGATCACAGCCAAAGGAACGGCCAAGATTTTTCATGACAAAGTATACTCGCGATTTGGATTACCCGACCGAATCATCTCGGATAGAGGACCTCAATACGCATCCAAGGTCTTCCAAGAGTTAAATCGACTACTCCAGATCAGATCATCAATGAGCACAGCTTATCACCCTCAGACGGACGGAGAAACAGAGCGAGTCAACCAGGAGCTGGAAATCTATCTTCAACTCTATTGCGGAAACAACCCTGAAACATGGGCCGACCGCCTGCCAGACCTCGAGTTTTGTCATAACACAAGGGAACACTCGGCACGGAAGATGAGCCCATTCCGCATCATGATGGGATACGAACCATGTGGACTCCCTTCTGTATTTCCGACCACGAACATTCCATCGGTTGAATCCAGGCTTGACATGTTGCAGAAGATAAGACTAGAAGCACTAGCCATGCACGAGTTAGCCCGGCAACAGATGGCGGACCGAGTCAGACAAGGATCGCCGAAGTTTACACTAGGACAGAAGGTCTGGCTAGACTCGAGGAACCTGAAGGTCAATTACGCCTCGCGCAAGATAGCACCAAAGCGTGAGGGGCCATTCGAAATTGTCGAAGTCATCGGACCAGCCAACTATCGTCTCAAACTCCCGAAGACCTGGCGAGTTCATTCCGTATTCCACGCCGCCCTTCTATCTCCTTATCGCGAAAACGATATACATGGTCCGAATTACGTGAACCCACCACCTGATGTCGTTGATAACGAAGAAGAGTACGAAGTCGAAGCCATCCTGAATCACAAGACGTACCGAGGTCATCTGAGGTACTTAGTCAAGTGGAAGGGATATTCTTCAGCAGAAAACTCGTGGGAACCTACCCACAATTTACAGAATGCCAAGCGAATCCTCGATGCATATAAAAGGACCAGGGGAATCCAGTAGAGGAGAAGAAACCCGGAATGACTACCACGGCGGTTTTCCTCATCATCTTCCTAATCGTCCTCCACTGCACAACCCTCGCCTTTCTTTGGATCATCCACCGAATCCTTATCAGACGACTTGTCGAACACACACTCTTCACGCGAGACAGCCCGCACGCTAACGGCTGGGGTGATCAGAACGATGCCTGGAACTGATCAGGCAGCTCTTATCTCTGTGGGAATACTCTTTATCGTCCAATGGATTTTCATCTATTTGATTATTACCCAGATCCACGACATTCTATTTCACATCACAGATAACGGCGATCCCCTTAACGACCGAAAGGTATAAAAGGAGGAGAAGATGACATATCATCAATGCCCACTTCCGCTATAGACGACCTTGTTCACAATATACTCGCTGAAGTCGCCTCCACAATTATGAGCATACCCGCATCGCCTACGCTTGTCAATGGAGTACCCTCTCGAGCACAGACACCCTTTATCCACGCTTCATCGCCCTCACCTTCTATCGAACTCAGTCACACATCGGACGAACAAGAATTTGCCACACATCTGGTCTCGGCTATCCGTGTTCCTGTCGACTTCACAGATATCCTTGTCGCCTTACGAAATCACCCGCAAGATCGACAAGCAGTGGTTTCCATGCAACGAGCATTAGAAATGGTCGAGTGGATGCAGACGGCCAGACAAGAGCTCATCGCAGCAGAAGAAAGGACGAGTAGAGCCCAAACCAGAGTCGACCAAGTCTGGTCGTTGATGCGCAGTACGGTCACTCGTACAGCACAGGAAATTTGGAGGGAGCATGGGGACAAAGACATCGGACACATCCTCGGATACACCACTAATGGAATACCCACATCCACTCCTCGCTCGTCACCAGAACCAATTCCCGTTCGACCTCGCCCTCCTCGTTCGCACGTACCCAGTGGACGATCTCCGTTATCCCAACCATCTTTCTCAACCGCATCCACTTCTTCGCGTCGCAGTCATCCCTACAGGGATGGACGTATCCCCGAACAAGGATCACGAACCAGCCGGCGGACATGCTACAGATGTGGAGGAGATCATTATGTCCGCGACTGCCCCCGATGACGATGAAGATCACAATATTTCTTGTGGGACAAGAAACGTTAGACAGGAGCTGATGTTACAATGCTCCTCACTTGTGGCGCGTCTTTTCTTTTTCTTTTTCTTGTTCCCTTTACATTACCAGACCACGTGATCCAACACATGACTCATCGGAGTGCAACCTCCGATTCTTTATCCAGATGTCCAGAACCCCTAGTCTAGGGTTACACCGGATCCAACTCCGGACCTTCTTCTTATCGCGCATGCAAGATGTGCATGTATGCCTCATCTTTACCTCGTTCCGATACACGACTCGTTATTCCCATTAGTACTGATTATCTCTCACGACCTTACTCAGCTTTCTCATACATATTACTTCCTCGCTGTTACCTTGCCCAGACATCGTTTCACCTTATCTAGCCAATGAACAATCCCGCATTACTGTGTAGTACTGCGGATACCTTTTGTATAAGTAGACAACCTTGTCGAGCTGGATCCCCATCTCGACCTGGTTACTATTAAACCAACTTTTCACTTGCCTTTTACTAAGATCGACCGTTAGTAGCAGACAGCTACTACGAGTCATAAGAACGAACTCTAATCGACCTTCAGTGCAAGGACATCACCAGAAGTGTCACTTGAATGGACTTGTGTCTTAGACTAAGGCCTTGTCTCGTGACGACTCGACTTAATGCTCATGTTTCGCTGCCGTGTAACAACTGGCACATGATGTCGTACATGACAAGGACGAGGGTAATACCGATGAGGGTCAGGAGTGCATTGATGAGAGAGTAATCCATATTCATTTGTCTGCAGAGGGTGCGTCAGTGAGAATGAATCATGACAAGAGACATATGCGAACCTTTCTCCCTTCTGGAAATCAACGACAGTATGAGGGATGAAGAAACCATGTCTGGCGCAAGCAGTGGCCCTGATTCCTGTGGCGTCGAGATTGGCGCGATCCACATTGGCCTGATTGACAGCGCGGTGCTCGTGACAAGTGGAGCGCTGGTGGGCTTACGAGTCAAGGGCGGAAGAAGAATGTGCAGCCAGACACGCACCTGATGCGACTCCATGGCCACCGCCAGATGAGCCTTGTAATCCTCTTGGCTGACCATGAATGCCTGGCCATCACTGAGGGCGACGTCCTCCTCGGAGTGCTTCATTTTCATGTGCTCTGCACTGAAATTGCCATCCATGACGAAGCCGCGTTTGAACTTCCACTGGACTGGATCTGCTTGCCAATCGAAAGGCAGGTTGAGCCCAGGCTGGGGACAGGTGGGACAAAAGATGGCGAGGCCACCCTTCTCCACAGGATGGAGGGCATTGTGTGAGAAGCCGTGCCACTTGCGATATTTGAATTGGCGCCATTGGTGGGACACTCGCATCAGCTCACGATAACGGTCCTGGCGAGAAACTGGCATAAATGGTTGGACCATGGGAATGCATGTGAACACTTACAGGAATGGTGCCAGGGAAGGCATTGCTCGTGACCCGTTTGAGCTTGCTGTAGTAGTTCAATGCCGCCGTCTTGCACTCCTTGTTCTCCAGAAGGAAATCATCAAGGATGGCGAATGTGAAGGTGGTATGGGGATCCTTGACGGTACCAGGGTAAAGTCCCATTTGAAGAAGCTGCATGTCACACTCCACCGCCATCTCACACTGGCACCAGTCAACGCCGATATGGTGAATGCCAGAGATGTCGACAATGACCATGATGCGATTCCCATAACTATCACGGCGAGGTGGCCGGGAGAGCACCGGTGGCACATCTTCCTCCCAAGTGGAATTGGAAGCATCGTCGGTTTGCCTTGCTTCACCGTCAAGGGCACCTGCCAGCGGTGCAAAGTCGAATGGGACCTCACCATCATATGCATTTAGGTCTTCATTGGAGGCATTCCAGAAATCGGACCTCGGGGCCACCACCAGCACAGGCATGCCCACGGGTTCAAACGCCCCATCGCCTTCCAAAAGTCCATCGAAGGCTCATGCTTCAGGCTCCTTGTTTAACTTGGATGATGGCGACATCCTGGGCAACATAGGTGTACCGATTCAGCTGGATCCGGTGGCTCGGAAGACAAAGGTGGGCACTCCCGCCATGACCATCTGACGGTCTGACCATGCACGATAGACCCAGAATGACTTCATGAGGGACTGGATACCCCACTGTGATGACTATCTTCATGCCATTGTCGAGATGGAAGCCCCGCCTGAGCCCAGAAACTGTGCGGAATGCAAGGTTGGCGAGGGACGGTGGCGATGCCTGGACTGTATGGGCAGACCACTCACCTGTACCGACTGCTGTCGTAACAGCCATCAGCGTGCTCCTTTCCATCGGATAGAGCATTGGCAGGGTCAGTATTTTGAGCCGGCATCACTGTATCGGGTCGGCATCTGCATCCATTTGGGCCATGGCGGAGATCTCTGCCCTCTGGGTGCCTTCACAGCACATAACAACGGCAAAGGTACGTCCACATAGCGCACTCCCCTAGTGGTCTGCTTAGCTACCTTGGTCACAAACTCAACCTCGTCATTCAGGTCTACAATGAGCCTGCTTTTGTTGCATCTGCTCATGGCTCAGATCAGTGGGGAGTCGTATTCCAAACCCATCGATGAGCATTGTGTCCCTATCGCACAATATGTGCAAATCACACACAGCCTTGCTGCCCACCAGACTACCCATCAAGAAGGTGGTTACGAATGGCTGCAATGCCTGGGCCCTATCACCTCGTGGTCTCTTTAGGCGCCATATCGGTGTTATGCAGATAAGGATGCCATGTTGGCGAGAGGTCCGCCAATCATATGTCACCCTCAGTGCTAACTTTGCGTTGACTCGGAGTAGCATAATTTTCAAAAGGGAAACTTGCACTTGCACCGCGCGCTCGCTAGCACTGCCGCCATCTGCCCCACTAGCACTCACAACTTCTCGACCGAATACATTTTGCCACCACCTCCGCCAACTTCGAGGTCTGCCAACCATATGCTGCCATCAGTGATAACTACACCTTGAGCTGAACACTGTCGAGATGTGAAATGCACACTCATACCGCGCGCTCATCAACGCTGCCACCAACACCGCTGCCAACCTTCAGCTAGCATTTGGAACTTCTCGACTCCATACATTTCACCATCACCTCTGCCAACTTTGTCCTGCCAATGAAGCTGCCATCGACAGTCTCCATCCCCTGCATAGTGTTCTCGTCACAATCAGTCTTTAGCATGATGTCCCTCTAATAAGCGAGCCAGTTAGGACCTGTTCTGAGTTAGGAATGCAGACTCGGTGATGAACTGTGCACATGCCAATGTGTGAGGCATAATATGAAGCTTGCATCCAGTGGGGCACCGGAATGCCCAGCCTGTTCTGGATGCCCTCTCGCATGAAGTATGCATAGACGAGCCTTTCGCCATCTGCTCCAGTGACGCCATGACGAATCGCCTTTCCACAGAAGGCTACGACAGTTCCAGGACTATAATCGATGGCGACATGCATGGCGGGGAACTTCAACCACGCGCAAGTGTAGTTGCCCAATGTCGCCAACAGGTCGTAGAACGTGTATCTTGTCTTGCTATCTCGGTGGAAAGGAGTTTCCCGGTTGGCGATCACCTGGAGCGCATTGAATGGTGATAACCAGTTCAGTGCCATCTCTCGCAATTCTGAGTCTTGCTGGATCAAACCCAAGCACTGGCATCCTGCGGCATATAGCATTGGGTGAACGACGGCCAGGATGGCACCCAGCAATGCGGAGGAGTCATGAATATCATGCAGCCAACGTCTTCCACCCTCAAGCTTCAGGCTGGCGGAGGTCTCCAGCCTCCCAGACTCCATATGCTGCAAAGCCTTTCCAGACACAAGGCAAATGGCGTGGCGAGGAGACCCACCTCTCTTACTTGTTGGAACCAACCTGGCGAGAGACACAAGGAGCCCGCTGGGAATTAGGCACACTCCTCAGGAGGCAAGAAGTACAACGGGTTGTGTCGCCAACTGGCGGTGGTGCTGGAAGGCTTACTGGCTGCTATTGCTGGGTGTAGGGCCCTGGTCGCTTGGAGCATCTTCGTCTGACAAATTTGTCAGATCACAGCGCAAGGCTGGGCAAGCCACTCACCTGACGGTCTGGTATCAACACTCTTGGAAGTATCCAAGCCAAGATGCGTCTGTGCATGTCCACGAGGGTGGCGGGCTGGTCTATGCGTATTTCGCTCTCACCAAATGGAGGAGGCCACTTCCGTTCCAGTTCTGCCTCGAGGACTTTATTCTGCCCCGTGGGCTGAATTGAAAGGCTGTCGCAATATCTATCAATGTCCCACTGCAGCCTTACTATTACAATGGCATGATCAGTATGATCAGACCTGCGGCAAGACTAATGACTACCAGGATTACGGATGGCCTTCACAAGAGCATCTGCAATGCCATTGCACTCCAATAGGACGGCGGATGGCATGGACGGAGGCACTTTTATGGATGGCGCAGAATGGGCTGCATGAGTGGCCAGATGGAGCTTTCGGCAGAACATGAGCTCTAAGACTCCTGCTATCTGATCGGTCAGTGGCATGGGTGACAGATTGCTCATCTTGATACTGTCTGCCAATCAATGGGACAATTACAGCATGCATCGGTTGAAGGAATGCACAGGTGTATGGCGGGCTCAGGCGGTTGGCTTGCAGATGCAGGGGAGAATGTAGGAGGGGCCAGAATGGCAAAGAACAGTATGCATTCATCTGCCTGCATATTGCTTGCAAGCACGTCCCTTGCACATCTCACATGTTCATCATGCCGCCAAGCCGGACTTGATGCCGCCATGCCGGATCATGGGCCGGGTGGTCCGCCATGTCTGGGCCCTTCGTCACCGCCATCTAATTGGCCGAGCCTAACTCCGAGGAAGCCCTTTATCCCACAGATTGGCATGCAGATGATCGCCAGATTGCCTCCGCCCAGCATTCGCAAGATGAAGTTGGCGTGGTGTGCTCTGCCATAGAAGCGGCATTCAACATTGCCTTTCACCAGGCATGAATGCTAGTGCATACCTACTACCACCTCCCGCCACTGCGAAAAATACACATACAATGCTTCAGCAGTCACCACACACCATGGCGAGGAGGGTAATTGGTGTAAGCCCAAATGGGCCATCAGCACGTGCATGTTGAGTTGTGGGCGGCTGACGAGGAAATGGACAGAGCGCTGCCCGTTGAACTATCGACCCCCTTCACTGCCCCAACACAAAAATCTCATCCTCGACATCGAGAAAGCATGCCGGCGAGATTTGTAATTTTGACGGAGCATCAGCCCATACTCTCTGAGAAGCTGCGGTCTTATGACATGGCAGATGCCAAGGGATGCAAGACTCTGGTTCAGAGCTTGCACCAGAAGCTGAAGACACAGTTTGTCGACGCGTCAAATTATGACGACATCATTGTGGAAACTGTGAGCAGTGTTTCATGTCTGTGAGGTCCCCACTAACTCTCACTGCAGAAAATCCGAGAGTGGCTCAATAACCACGCCCGCCATGCGCAGGAGAAAGTGACGAAAAAGCATATGCATGTTTCTGGCAAGCCCAATGCCTTCAAGGTGTGGGATGCGCTGGAGAGGGACAAGGTGACTGAGGCCACGCGAGCACTCGCGGCAGATAAGGGTTGCAATGTCTCCAAGGTGTGGAGAGTCGCACGGAGTGCCGAATGGGCAAAACTGTCCGAGGAGGAGCAGAAGGTGTATGAGGAAAAGGCGGAAAGTTGGCGCAATGGCACTCTGAATGATAAGACGAAAATGAAGTGCGTACCTCCTGTCACGTAGCATAAGGCAAATCCTGACCTAAGACAGGCTGAGGGAGCAGCGAATGATGCAATATCTGAAGAAGTTTGCCAAGACTATGTGGGACACCATGGGCATTCGCATGGCATTCATGCTAGCATATCCGAAGGAAGCGGGGAGTCTGAAGGTAGAGATGTGAGCGTAGACCGTCCGACTGTCACCATCTGCTAAACCCCGAGTGAAGGGTGGAGGTCAACCACGCCATCACCAATGGAACTCCATTCGGGGCCTATCCTGGGTGGCTGCGTGCTTACCAGCCTCTAGCAAAGGTGTTCTCTGAGTGGGCCAAAGGTGAATACGGTAAGAAGACCTCAGTTGCATTGTCGCTGGCACACTGACCTGATTCCTTAGGTGTGACTGAGACTACGGTGACGGTGAAGAAGACACCTGCCGATTGCATGCGGGCCATGGACAAGATTCGGTTGACGGCCAACGGTTTTCCTCTGCTCCCGTCGGTGCCCGAAGGTATGGCGGAAGCGCCTCTCAAGGTGATGAAGGTACAAGTTCGAGACTTCATGAATCATCACTACGGTATGACACTCCCACTGGGTGTTGAGAGATGCTGACCAGTTTACAGCATTGGCGAAGGGTGTTCGGAACTGCAAGTCGCCATGGACGAAGCTGAACAGCATAGACGACATCAATGAGGTTATTCCAGCGGAGATGCTACCTGAGAACTTCCAGTGGATCGATCCCTCAAAGATGACAAGTGTTCCCGTTCGTGCCCTCCTCGACCACTGGCGGGCACGTCAAGAGGAACATGGACCTGAGCAGACCATGTGATTCACCCAGTACTTCGACAAGGATGGCGAAGCTGCTCCCGCCAAGTATGATCCTCTTCCACCACTTGACGGATCAGCACAGGCATTAGAAGAAGGATCTGAACATGAGGTCCAAGAAGCACTCACACCTAAGAAGGCGGGGAAGGCGAAGAAGAAGGGTAAACCTGTGCGCAAGGTCATGGGAAAGGCAGCATCGAAGGCGACAAAGGGCAAAGCGGCCCCTGGCAGAGCCAAAGGCGGTGGGCGTAAACGCAAGACGAAAGATGCATACGACTCGGAAGACGATGCCAGAAGCAGCCAAGACTCTGATAGGAGTTCGCCAGATATACCCAGCATGGCTTCTGAAGAAGATATGGCCAGCGATGAAGATTCAGGGGATGGCGAGAGCGTGATTGCGAATAAAGCGAAGGGCAAGGCAGTCGCCACCACCAGTGGATGTAAGGCTAACAATGGCGGTGCACCTCAAGCCAGCAGTAGCGGTGCCAAGGTGAAGGAGAAGCGAGATCGCCAAGACCTTCCTCTGGGCGCACTGCACAGATTTGACACGGAGGAGACTGATGAAGCATCGAGTGAACTGGAGCCCAGTACAAAGGAGCTGAGGCTTGAGCTTCAAGGCCGAGCCCCACATCTCACTGGCGGGAGTACTGTGGGGAGTACTGTGCCCCACCTCGTCAAAAGGAGAGACGTGTTTCTTGCCACCCTTTCCATCAAACTGCAATACCAGGATATGCTGAAGCAAGTCAAGATTGCGACTGTGGTGAGCTCCTTTCGTGGGGATTCATAGCCACTATTGATCATCCGTCATATAGCCCCAGGTGTATCATTTCACCAGGTATGATCCGATTCCCTGGAGCGAATGGTCGTATGGCCAGCGCTACCTCCCGCTGTCATTTCATGCGGTGGACAACTTTGACATCGTCGAGAACTGGTTGGGCGACAAACCATGGCTCACAAAATATCGGTTCTTACATCCACAGGGCGTACAACAATCTGCACTCGTGATTGGTATGGCGCTGAGGGACCTCACACGATCTCAGTTCATTGAGGAGGGCGAACCGACCAACCTTCCCGACTATGTGGTGAACTCGGCGATCTCATTTGATGCAGTAGAGCAGCTGCTTCGCTGTTGCGAGATCATTACCTTGGACATGGTGGAAGGGAACGTCACCCATGCCATGGTGAAGCCAGTGAGCAAGCCTGCCATACGCGGTGCCCCATAAGGTGGCGATGGCCTTGGGGGCCAGGAGGAGCAGGAAGGTGATGCCTCTGCAAGAACTCACGATGGCGCTGCTACTGCTGCCAAAGTTCACAAGGCTCACCAGCCTGCCCTCATGGCTGACAAACCAATCATTCCAAGTGGAGGAGACGAAGGGCCGAGCCAGGAGACCAGTGGTGGGGCCTCTGACGATGGCGAAGAGGACGATGCACACTTGTCCGTACCTAGCAGTGGTGCTGAACGACCGCCACCGCCTCCGTTTATACCTAAGACGAGGAAGGCCGCAGCCACGGAAGACCGTCTGTCAGGTCAAGCCAAAGCGCTCCAGGGAAGGTCAATCACCGATGCTCTTCAGAGTAATATCCCCGGCAGGATCACTCGCAGTCAGCGTCAAGCGATGGATGAGTCGCCCGCCAAGAATACCCGCAGTCAGCATCCACTAGGAGCTGTGAAAGATTTGAAGAAGCTTCCTGATCCAAAGCGGAAACGTCAACCAGCACGTCCCGAGCCCGATGGCGAAGACAGCTCTGGCGAAGACAATCCGCCACCTCGGAAGCGTGGACATGGTACTCGGGACGAGTTGGTAGTGGCCTCGCCGAGGAAGAAGAATGCGAGGGCCGAGGACTCGGATGATGGTGACAAGCCTCCCGCAAAGCGAAGATAAGCTCTGCCTCAGACCCCGGAGGTCAAGGACAAGGGAGAAACCAAGCTGAAGCCGGTCCGTCTGGGGAAAGCAGCTGCCAAAGTGAAAGAGAGTGGCCAAGTTGGCGCAGGTCGCAAGACCCGCAGTGGCGGCACCAGACCTTGACAATATAACTCCAGTTCAAAGTAGACTCGTAGGCTTCCACATTGTTTAATGTGACCCATAGATTTACATAGGTAAAGCCATGGAGATGGTGGCAATGGCGAGGGGAGTTGGCGAGAACTTCAGCAGGCATTCAGTTGACTTGGAGTGGCAGTGGCGAATCGAGTGCATGGAGATTCCATGCTAGGTTAAAAAGCATGTATATCAATACTCTAATGACTACACATTGTGTCTATCTGGGTGAAAGGCGGTGAAGACCATGGCGGAGTCGACCTTCTCTCGGAATGCGTCCAGAGACTTCGCCACCAGCGAGGTTTCCTCTCTCGCCGTCACCACCTCCTTCGCCACCTTCTTCGCTTCATCCAAAGCGGACGTCGCCACCGCCATCGAATCCTCTTTGGCGAGCACCAATTCCATCTCCAGCTTGCTCGCTTGAGCGATCGCCTCTGCCGCCAAAGACCTGAGCTCCTTCTCCATGCTGTCTGACCGCGCTGCCTGGAGCTCCATTGAATGACGGAGGTCGGCCAATTCACCCTGCAGCTTGTTGACGTCCGCTTGGCTCACCGTCTGGTTCGCGCCTTGCTCCAACCTGTTGACCTTCTCCTTGAGCTCTGGCAGGCAATGTCGCTTGGCGACGAGGTCCGCCACTGCCAACTTCATGCTCTCCTGAAGCTCGATGGTGACCGGCCTGCGAAACTCCTCCATCGCCAACTTGACCTCTTCGCGAATGCTCCGGGCATTTTCTTGAAATGCGGATGGCGGGTTGATTCGCTGGAGTGCCGCTGTGATCTCTGCCTTGACGGTGTTGAGGTCCGCCATCCTCTCCTGGAATTGAACTTCCATCCCGTCCTTGTGCGCCAGGAACTCCTGTCACAACTCGGCACAATTCGCACAGTCATCGTTGGATGACTGCGAGGTTTCTTCACCACTGGGGGTGTCGCCTTCGTTCACCGGAGCGGGACTTCCTGTAGACACTCGCTGGATGTCGCGCAAGTGGGGTGCTGTATCCCTGGTCAGCGCTGCATGGATTCGAAGCTGTGGCGGGCGCACTTACCCTTGCTGGTCGGAGGCACTGCTCTGAGGCGGTTCGCCTTCGCATCCCTTTTCGCCTCCGCCTCCTTCTTCGCTGCCTTGCGGTCCAGTGGGGCACCCCTCTTAGCTGGCCTTCGCCCTTCATTGAGATGTCCTGCCTTTGCCAATGTGGAGGACTTCGCTCCCTTCGACGCCTTGGATATCTCCAGGGAGGGCGTCACCTCCTGTGCCACCTCGGCAGCTCCTGCGCTCATCTCGTGGGGCATCAGCAGCGAACGCCACCGATCGTCGTGTGGCCGCTCCAAGGACGCGCGCTGTCTCATGGTTACATTGACTCCAGCTGCGACAAGATGTCCTGCTTACCTCATCCTCCGCCACCTCTGCCTGATACTCTGGCGCATCCTCTGGTTCATCGGCGACTGGTGTCAGCATGCGCTTGCTGCTGCTAGCTTGCGGTGGAGCAGCTGGCCCTGTTTGGAAGGCCATAGCCCGCACCGCCTCCATTGCCAGCCTGGCGGCTTCCTCCATGCCATCGCCTTCCACCAGAGGCATCTTGGCTGCTGCCTTCGGAGCACTCACCTTCGCCTTCCTGGTGATCACGGGCACCATTGGGCCTGAGCGACCTCCCATCACCACCCTTGTCGTCTGCCCGCCCTCCTTCGCAACAGACTTGGCAGGTGGGACCTCATCTGGCTCACGTACTGAGGTCCTGGTGACCTCGCCACCATCTTGCGCACCTGAGTTTTGGCTCCTCACCGGCTTTGCCTTGGGTCCTGATTTCTTACCTTCGCCAGGTTTGGCGACCGCACCAGACTTGGCAGGCGCGCCAGACTTGGAGACCTCGCCAGAGTTGGACAGAGCCACAGCTCCAGTGGCGGTGGTGGACTTGGTGGCGCACTTGGACTTTGACGATTTCTCCACCGAGGCCTCGCCTTCAGCGTTGGCTTCATAGGGCATGACGGTCGCCTTCTGCTTCGTCGCCTCGACCTCCTCGCCACCCTTGACCTTGGAGCTGGATGCTGCAGCATTGCGCATCTTGGTCTTCTTCGGCGGCTTGCGCTTCGATGCTCCCATGACCATGGGTTCTGCACTGTCGGGCTCGTCAGAGTCGACCTTGACGTTGTATGGAGGTGGCGACGTGGGCAGTGGCTTGCCCTCTACCACCAGCGCTGCGCACATCTCTTGGAACTCACGCTGTGCAGTGTGTGAGTTTCCTCGCAGGGACACACTGTCCGTGTTCCTCGGCGCGATGCTGCAACTGACACCTCGTGCTGCACATTCGAGGCAGCGACCAAAGTTGGCGGTGTTGAGCTTGCATGGCCACTCTTTCTCCTGGCAGCCAACGCAAGGGACGAGCTGCAGGAACATTAGCACAGGTCAATGTCTCACAAGATCGTTACTCACCGAATCTGTTGCATGTGCCCACATGAAGTCAGACACGCGGGTGGACATCTTTTTCCACATGTCCTTCTGCAACACCGTCACCTTCGCCTTTGCCTTCACCGTCGCCTTCCCCTTCGCCGTCGCCTTTGCCTTCCCCTTTGCCTTCGCCTTCGGTGCGACATGAGGCGTCACCGTCATCCTCGTTGTCTGTTTGACAGGTTTGGCAGGGGCGTTCGTCTTCGCAACACCGTCGTTAGAGTCCCCTGCGATCTTGGCGGGTAGATTGGAAGGCGGTGCCGGAGTCTCGTCTTCGCTTTCGATGAACTCCTTGCTCTTGTATTCCTTCGTCGCACACTTCTTCTTTGGCGGCTTGACGGTCGGTACTTCCTCTTCATCGCTTGACTCCTTCGCCTTCCTCTTCCCGCTCTTCTTCGTGCTCACCTTCGAGCCCTCCACCTCGGTCTGCGCCATCCTCTTCTGCGCACGCTGCGCTCGGCCAGAGGTGGTCGGGGCCTCGCCTTTCTCCTTTGCGACCTCGATCGGCTTCATCCGCTTCGCCTTCGGAGCCGCCTCCTCGTTCTCACTCTCCTCACTCGACTCTGTGATGACCGCCTTGCGCTTTCGGAGTGATGGGGCAGCTGGCGAGATCGATATTGGTCTGGCAGTTGGTGGAGGGGGCGACGCCGCATCGACCTCGATAGATTCGGGCTGGCCTGCACCCGGCACGTCTTCCGCCATCTCATCGTCGTCATCTTTGTCGGCATCGTCGTCCTCGTCACTGTCGGCATCGTCGTCGTCCTCGCCCTCCTGCTCCTCTCCCTCTCCCTCTCCCTCTCCCCCATCCTCTTCCTCGCTCATCGCATGCACCGCCTTCCCCTGCGCCTTCTCCTTGCTCTTGCCCTTTCCCTTGTCCTCCCCCGCCTCCACGTGGACGATACGCTCACCCACCATGCCTGTCCCGACGTCGTTGTCAGCTCTCTCCTTGCCTTTCCCCTTGGTGATGAGGTCCCCAGTAGCCAGGTCCTCCTCGCCACGTCCCTGGGTGTCATCATCGGCTGGCACATTGCCCCAGCCCTCCGCTGGCGTACTCTTCACCGGTGGCAGCTTGCAATATGGATCTGGTGCAGTCAGTGTGTCGCTCGACGCCTCACAACGCTTGTGACTCACCTTCAGTCCACCACTGCCTTCCCAGGTCCTCACACTCCCCATACTCGCGCACAGCCGGAGGGTACCTCTTGTATATCCTCTCGTCGTCGTTCGATATGTGGTCCAGCCGCGCCAGGGCCTTCTGCTGGTATGTCTGGGTGAATTCCAGCAACGCGCTGATGACAATCCCAGGCATCCTCAACGACTTCAAGGGCTGCGGGAAACTCTTTTCAAGCCGACTCTGTGTGGCATATTCGGTAAGTGCATGCCAGACCTTCGACTGATGACTTACCACTTCGAGGTAAATCCTCGTCTCCCAGTCTGGATAGCAAGGGTCGTCCTGGCGAGGCGCCGCTGCAACAATGGCCGTCAGTTGCGCGGCCTGCAGAACATAGTTGGGGTCGATATCCAGAGGCATGGTGAGCTTGGCAGAAGAAAGTGTGAGGGTGTTTCAAAAGCAGAGGTTGCAGTACAGTGGAGGCAGAGCAGACGATGCTATGAGCTGGCAGACGTGATCTGCACCAAGTTCAACTTCACACGCCACGCGACCACGTGCTTTGCACGTGATCGCTGGACTTGCGCGATTTCTCAAGTCTCTCAAGGTCAGTGTGACCTGCCGCAAGTTCTCATGGCTCCCAACAGTAAGTTCTATTGCTCTCCTTGTGGAATCTGACTCCTTTGTGATGTTATCTGACCTTTCTATGTCATATCAATCCCCTTTCTACAACTGATCTCCCGCGATCCAGGACTAATCGAAGACTTGTCTGCTCGCCACAATCTACCTGCCATGGCCAGTGACGCGGAACCTCCTGACATGCTGGACATTATGATGGGCGAGTCGGATGAGGAGGATAGTATCGCTAAGCCCCGTCGTCCACTCATTTCGGATCTCCTTGACTCTCCTGGATCTGCCCAGATCTCCTTGCCTCTCCACTCTGCTTCTCAGACACCCCTCGTGCCCCGCCACACTACCCCGTCCCTGGCGGCTCCATTTGCGCCATCCAACTCACCACATGAGCATCTCCACCGCCACGCCTCGCCAAAGGTACAGGCGTCATCTGGATCTGTGGCGCCTGTGGAGGGAAGTCACGCACTTATTCCTGACCCTCTGGCGCCAGCTTGAGATGAAAGTCATGGCAGTTCGCCAATCCATAGGCATGCACTCATCTCAGATTCCACCCCCACTGCACCCAGTGGAATGTTCAACTTCGACACTCCTGGCATCTCGCCAATCCCTCGATGTGCCCTGTTGGAAGCTACTCCCCTTCCTCCACCAGCTCACACTTTCGACTTTCGCACTCCTGACACCTCCCAACTCCCTCGATGATCGCTCATTGCTGAGCCCCTTGACGCTACGCCACGTACATCCATCTACTTCGATAGTCAAGCAAGTATGCCGATGGCGAGGGGCATGCTGGTGGACGAGACACTTGACGTGGAACCAGTGCCAAAACTGCTGGACTTTGACAATAGTCCTCCCGCCATGCCAGGACGATGGCGAGCTCTGGTGATAGACAGCCCTGGCGCGATGCCTGTGTGTAGCCAGGTCCGGTGGCTAAATAGTCCCAGCACTTCGCCTCCAAAGAGGCGGCCTTTGTTGGATGATGTTTTAAGTCCACCGCCTCCGCCATCGGCACCCTCTCACTCGCCAGCTCGCACTTTCGATGACAGCAATTTCCACCACGATGCACCTGTCATTCACTATATGAAAGGCAGCATCGAGCCAGTCACTGTTACTTCCAGGATGCCAAGTCTGGCAGCACTTCCAGATGAGCTGCCGATCCATCGTCCCACCCATTGGGAACAGGTTCCAGGCTTATTCCCAGATACCACACAGCTGCTGCCAATGGCAGTCCCTGGAGAGACGAATGCCGCTTCTGGCTCACAAGTGGCCCGCCTCGGTAGATCGTTTGCACAGATCGCAGCAGAGGCAGACAGTTCCAGTGAGTACATCCCTGGCAACCTTCAGTCTGATGTTGACCTTATTCATAGTGGACGATGACGAAGGTGATAGCTTTGCGGTTAGTCGTCGTTGCGCCATGTTGCGGGAGCGCATTGTACGTCTTCAGCGTGAGCTCAACCTCACTGAGGATATGCACGTTGCGAACCTCAATGCCAGCTCGACCGTGTTCCAAATGGGGTACATTCTGAGGGACATTCGTGGCGAGGCGTATCGCAGCAACTGAACTAGTGTCTTTGAGCGTTCTGGTGTTAGCAATATATGACCGCTATGTAACAGCTTGTATACCAGTACAAAATGGATACATTCACTTCTGCATCACTAAGCTCTAAAGCCCATCGCTCCTCCAGTGTACTCTTGAGATGGGCGGACTGCGCTCGCCATCACCAAGGCATGTTGTTGCCAGCAATTGGCCCATCGCCAAAGGACCTGAGTGAAAGCTTCACTGCATGGGAATATCGCTCCACCAGCAAAGGGCCCACTGCCAAGGGTCAGAGGGTTGGCCATCGCCAAGCCATGTTTTTGCCACCAATTGGCCCTCCGCCATGAGTGCTGGTGAGTGATGGGCCCACCGGCAAAGGTCAGAGGATTGGCGATCACCAGAGCACGTCATCACCACCAATGTGCCCGGAAACTGCAGGGCTGTATGTGACAATGGGCCCATTGGTGGCGATGACATATCCTGGTGATCGTCAACCCACTGGCCTTTGGCGGTGGGCCGATTGCTGGTGATAACATGCTCTGGCGTTGGCCAACCCTCTGACCTTTGGCCGTGGGCCGATTGCTGGCGGAAACATGTCCTGGCGATGACCTATCCCATGGGTGCTTGCAGTAAGGCCCTCTCTGAGGGTGCTTTGGCGATGAGCCGACTGCTGGCGATAACATGCTCTGGCAATCGTCAACCCTCTAACCTTTGGCGGTGGGCCCATCCTTCAGGTTACACTCTGGGCGATCGGCCCACTGCTCATTCGTCATACTTTGGCGGTGGGCCGATTGCTCAGACAAACATGCTCTGGCCATGGCCAACACTCTGACCTTTGGCGGTGGGCCCATCCGTCATCTTACACTCGTGGCGATGGGCCCACTGCTCATTGATCATACTTTGGCAGTGGGCCCATCGATGGCGATAACATGCTCTGGCGTCGGCCCACCCTCTGACCTGTGGCGGTGGGCCCATTGCTTAACGGTTACAACACTGTAATATGCCCTGCTAGTGGGCCGAGCACTGGGAGAAGAACACTAGCGGTGGGCCCACTGCTAGTATCCCACACATGAAAGATATGGGCCCACTGCTGGTAGAGGTCAACATGGTGACAATGGGCCGACGTCCGCTGGCTGTCCAGTTCATGACAATGTCAGGGTAAATGGGAGTTCAGTTCAGGTAACATGACTGAAAGGTGTGACTGGCAAACATCCATATGGGGCACATCCATGGCTTCTTATTGTCAGGATAGAGCCAAAATGGTGCAATATCTGAGTCCGATAGGTTGAGAAGTTCAGTATAATCTCACCTGAAGCAGAGATAAAGCCATACCTCCATTCTGATGTGTCTTGCGAAATGGCAGCTCAAGACGCATGCGGGTCACACCATTCTCTTGCTCAAGATAAACATCACCTCAAGAGATCCTCAACACTTCATCAAAGCGCAGCAAGCAGAGCATTGCAATCACATATACCAGCTGTAACATTACTCAGATCTGTTTGCCAGCTCAGTCTTCTGGGCGCTGTCACACACCAAAAGTGTTTGGCTTGTGAACACGTAACCACCGGTGAAGCGCTCAACGAAGAAGTCATGTGACTAAGACAGAATCCGAGAACATTGGCCGAGCATGTCACCTGATGCTTACATTATGCTATTGGACGGGAAAAACTCAAAAAGTGCTTTCTTCCTACTTCTCCCTGCTCGCTTTATGCTATTGGACACAGAGGTGCCAAGAGTTTTATCTTCCCTGTTTCTCCCTGCTCACTTTATGCTATTGGACACGAAGGTCCTAAGACATTTTTCCTTCCTACTTTCTCCTTTGATCACATGACGCTCTTATTTTGCTATTGGCCAGTTTGCCATATAACACTACTATGTAACAGTCACAACGGGTGACATCCGAGGGGTATAAAAGGACCCCCGAGGCGCTCCGACCCTCAGTCTTCTCTCCCCACTTGTAGCCCCATATAAGTGAAGAGTTCTCCCTCCACTTGTAGCTTACCCTACAAGTGATAAACTAAAAGAATAGGAGTTCATTCCACTTCTTTTAGTAACTTGTTAATCATTTCTTTTAGGTAGTCTAGCACACGATTGCTAGATACTCAAACTGTTCTCGGACAACACGTAGGAAAGCATCATTGTCATTTATGGAAGATAATATATACTGTTAATTAACAGACCTTTAAGATTAGCAGACTCCTTACTTAGCAGACCTCTTCCAGGATTATTTTATCAGCAAGCCTTTAAACGGAAGGATTATCTTAAGATAATCTTTGAGATAATCCAAAGGATTATCTGAGTTTAAAAGATATTTTTTAAGTTGTCACCAGCCAGTATTGAACCCTCAACCTTCAGATAAAGTCATATGATCAATTGACACTAGACACTTTAGCCACTGCACCATATCAGCTTATAAACTTACTCTCATGTATAATATATATAGGAGATTTTGCTAAAGAGACTTAGACAAGTTCTGCCTATCATAAGAGAGTAGCTAAGTTAAACACAAGGCAAAGCATGTTTATAATAACATTTTCAGTACATACCTTACAATTCAATCACATTGTGATCTCATCTTTTACAAAAAGACTATAGTCATAAATTTTGAGTTTAGAGAATGGACCTTTAATGGTACCTATAAGGTAAACAGTAGTTCACAACATATACAAAGTTAATATATAGATATTGTAATATAAACAGCAGTATAGACCGTATGAAATGCTACTATGACATTCTTTGTCTTATGTTTCACTCAGTTATACACTATAGACAGAATTTGCCCAAGTCTCTTTGGCAAAATCTCCTATATCCATGATACATGAGAGTAAGTTTATAAGCTGATATGGTGTAGTGGCTAAAGTGTCTAGTGTAAGTTGATCATGTGACTTTCTCTCAAGGTTGAGGGTTCAATCCTGGCTGGTGACAACTTAAAAAATATCTTTTAAACTCAGATAATCCTTTGGATCATTCTTAGGATTATCTTAAAGATTATCTTCAGACATTCAAAGATTATCCTTTGCTAACTTAGAAGCCTGCTTATCCTCTCATGCTGTTAACTAGCATAATTTATTATCACCCATAACTGACATCACTGAGGAAAGTTATCGGCGAGGCACATTGTATTAGGACATACGCACTCGGTAAAGCCCTGCACACAGTTGTAGGCACACAGATTAGGAAGACGAAGAAGATGAAGAAAGCTCTGCACTGGTTGTAGGCCTCGTATAAGAAAACCTGTTAAGCCCTGCACTGGTTGTAGACATCATATCAGAAGACAGAAAGCAAGCCCTTACACACGGTTGCTAGGCATCCCCCCACATTTCCCCATCTGTATTGTGCAGACTCTCCATCTCGACTTTAGACAATGAATCACATGTATAGCTCAAGCGCCCCTAACCCACTATCATAAATTTGATCTCAACGAACAACTGTGATAGCCCGGTGTACTTTCCCTTTTGCCACGCCCGGTGAACCACAGTGAAGTACCACTTACTTGACCTGGAGTCAAAAGCTCCTCCGGCCAAGGCCCGTGCATACCCCGAGTTGACATCTGGAGCCCACCGTGGGGGTCGAACTCGCAGCCTTCAGATTAAAAGTCTGAAGCCTGTCAACACGGCAGTCTATCCTACACTACAGCTCTACCCAATCAACACTTCGCAGTCCAATATGGTGACTGGCATCGCTGGATTACCGGTTCTGAGAATGAAGGGTTCACCGAAGAAGTTTAAAGGAAGTTATGCAGAAGTTGTGAGGTTTCTGCAGCACTATGAGTGGCTGTGCGCTCAGCTTAACATCGTGACTGCAGAGGACCAAGCGAAAAACATCACGCAGTATTGCACAAAGCGTGCACCCGTTTATAGAATCACTCCCCGCCTATATCATGCCAGACTGGAATGCCTTCAAGAGAGATGTTCTCATGTTTTATGACGCTGACCGAGACAAAAGGCGATATAAGGTCAAGGACCTTGAAGCCTTGGTCAAAGAATCATGTCGGAAGCCTACTATCAAGAACTTAGGTGCATGGCGGGAATACTCAAGGAACTTTCTCACAGTCACTGGATGGCTAGTGAACTGTGGTCATATTTCAGAAGTCAAACAGGCCCTTATTTCTGGAAAGGGATTCCTCACGCTTTCTGTCAGGTCCTGAAACCATGCTTGCTCACCGCAGATCCCAACCACGACATGTCTATCCCATTCAGCCACCAGTGGTGGCCAGTATTGTACAACAATACTGCAGGTAGCTGAGCAAGGTGTTGTTCACTACTCACCAGTCATTGTCAATTATCAAAGTTATTGTTAACAACAGTCTAAGAGGATTGTAATACAATAACAACTTGTACAAAACAACTTGCACTCAGCCAGGCTTAAACCCTGGTCTTCCGGGCACATAATTACATAAGCACATGCCACACACACAGTCTACCAACTGCTCCACTGGACCATGCATTTCTTTTAGCCTCAATTCTATATAAGGCTACTGCCTTCTCTAATATATATATTAGACTCTTTTGTAATGGCTACTATGTCCTGTTGTTACTGTTGCTTATAATAGTGATTTACCCACATTTTTCTATTTATTTCACCCTTCTAATAGCTTTGTTACATCTAATACAAATTTTGATATTACAATTTTAATATTATTTGAATATTTACTGAACTAAAAAGGAAATGCTTAAGATTAGGCACTCAAAGACTTATTAACAGAGACATCAATCACTGTTAGAAGCAACAGTAACAACAGGATATAGTAGCCATTACAAAAGATTCTAATATATATATTAGAGAAGGCAGTAGCCTTATATAGAATTGAGGCTAAAAGAAATGCATGGTCCAGTGGAGCAGTTGGTAGACTGTGTGTGTGGCATGTGCTTATGTAATTATGTGCCCGGAAGACCAGGGTTTAACCCTGGCTGAGTGCAAGTTGTTTTGTACAAGTTGTTATTGTATTACAATCCTCTCAGACTGTTGTTAACAATAACTTTGACAATTGACAATGACTGATGAGTAGTGAACAACATCTTGCC